GTAATCGTAGTAGTAAACCTAGGGGAGGACGATACGAATAAGATTACCGATAACGGTAAGTTCGAAGCTACCGTTACTAAATACAGCATAGCCGGTAGATACGGCGCCGCGGGTGTTGAAATACTGCTATTTATCGGCTACTAACTAGAGCTACAAGAATACGAGCTAGATTTTGTCGAATAGGCAAACAAGAAATTCGATAATAAGGCTTGCGCGACATTTAGCCGAGACATTAATAGGCATATCGAGAAGAAGCGGAAAACGAATGCGAGTAGTCCGATCGCTATAGCTGCTATAGCTTTAGTAGAGTCGGAAGACTTATAGCTAAGAGAGAAGCTGCTATTTAGCCTAGAGATACAGGAGCGTCGTTATAAGTAGCGCCGATAGCGGTTAGGTCTCTAATCTAGCGAACTCTTACGTAGCGCCGCATTTAGTATCCCTCTATTATCGAGGGTATCGACACTGTCGCCTAACGATAAGCGCTCTATTCTATTCGATAGAGCTCTACCGAAGGTTATTAAGCTTAGAGATCTTGAGTTACTGCCTGCCCCTACGCCGGTATCTTTATAGCAGGCTTAAGGTTCTAGACTTAATATAAACAGTTATACGTCGACTATAACTACTACCGCGCCGAATGCTCTAGCCGTACCCTCTACGCCTTAAGAGAATGCTTAAGAGAATGCTTAAGAGAATGCTTAAGAGAATCCTTAAGAGAATCCTTAAGAGAATGCTTAACAGAATCCTTAAGAGAATGCTTAATAGAATCCTAAAGAGAATACTTAAGGTTCTAGACTTAAGGAAAATAGTTAAGAGAATGCTTAAGAGAATGCTTAAGAGAATGCTTAAGAGAATGCTTAAGAGAATGCTTAAGGTTCTAGAGTTAAGGAAAATAGTTAAGAGAATGCTTAAGAGAATGCTTAAGAGAATGCTTAAGGTTCTAGACTTAAGGAAAATAGTTAAGAGTCGACTATAGACACTACCGCGCCGGGAGCTTTGCCTAGGATCGTTACTCCCCGAGAAAGTTATCTATATCCTTTAGGTTCTTAGCGTTCTATAGATAACATATCGATGTAACTATATAGATCGAGTAAAGGTCTTAATAATAGTCTAACGAGAAACGGAAGAGGGTTAGATACTAGTAAACGTATACGAGATCCTTATGCTCGTACTAGGCCGCTCGACTCTAATACTAACTCGGAGCCTATAAGGAATAGCAGGACTGCTAGACGCGCTTAGCCTATAGTTAATATAGATACGTATACTCCGGAGCCGGACGACCTAGAGGAGTAGATAGAGGCGACCCCTTATATTCTAAGTTAGACCTATAAAGAGCTCCTCGACCGTATTAAGCAAACCTAGGCAGGGGATCTTAACTAGAGTTATACTGCCGAGCTAGAGCAGATAACGTACGAGTACGTTAAACGCATCTGCCTCTGTCTACGTCTGTCGCCTAAACTTTTCGTAGATCCCGAAACACCTATCGCCCTACCGGGCTTTAAGACAAAGCTATACGCCTACTAAGTATTCGGAGCTGCTTAGCTTATATTCTACCGACCGTAGTATACTCGAGAAGCCGGAGGAATCTTAGGCGACATTATAGGTCTCGGTAAAACTATAGAGCAACTTTTAATCTTCGTTTTTTATAAGCAGATTACCGATATACTTAAAGACTACGCTAAAAACAGAGATAATCTAGAGAAACACCTTCTACGGGGTACGGAAAATTCGAAATACCTATCTGCGAATAAGTTTTCTGTCCCCTATAGATATAAGTAGCGCGACCTATAGCGTAGTTTTAGGCTTCGTAAGGGCATTATAATTCTGTGCCTAACTACCGGTTTAAAACCCGATACTATAAAGAAATTCCTAGCTTATACGGACTTTAAGGAGCTAGGCATTAAACTATACAACTTCAACCCGCCTAATATAGATAATACGAAAGAGGAAATAGATAGTATCAAGCTCTTTAAAAGGGGAGACGTAATGCGCTTTACGCCTAATCGCGTTGCGACTCCTAAAGTAGACAAGTACCGGAAGGGAGTTAACTATCCGGGCTCTACGCAAAATCCAATTATTACTAAGGCGCCCCTCGGTCTATATAAGAAGCTCGTATTCGTGCTAAAGGGTCGTTTCTACGTATTCTACGAGAACTGGAATTTCTCTATCTCGACCGTATAGTTTAGGAGGACCTAAGAGGGCAGGCCTTACGCAAATAGCTCGACTAATTTTAAAACCGCGGCCTATAACACTCTACTAGTTAGAGCTATCGTAGTAGACGAGGCTAACGAGGAGTATAGAATATATACGAATAGCATAAGTACGCTTCGCAAGCTAAGCGTAAACTATAATACGAAATGTACGGTATATTTCGTAATAGGCACCCTAATCGCTAGAACGTAGAAGCCGATAATTGAATAGTTTAGAGTCTTCGACGCCTTAGCTCGCTATAATAACAGGGGGCGATCCGACCCTAACTACTAGAAGGACTTTAAAGCATAGAACGAGTTTAGAAGTAAGCCTCTAGGCGAGGGCTTTAAGAGGATAATCAATCGCTACGAGAAAGCTTTAGGCGGAGAGTATTAGAAAAAGGGTTCTATTAAGGAGCCTAAAATCCTAATAGCTAACTTACTTATACTAGTGTTAAGGCACTTTCTTATACTACGGACATACAAATCGGTCTAGCCGTTTAACGCAACAAAGCCCGAATAGAAGATGCGACTATTAGATAATACAGATAAGGAGCTAAAGAACATTAAGCTGCCTTAGGATATAATTAACGAATTGAATAATTAGGTAGAAAAGCTAAAGCGGAGCATTAACTAGAAGATCCGTTTAGGAAAGATTAACGCTAAGGCGGTTGCGTAGAGGCAGTTTTTCCTCGGCTCTTATAGGATACGAATTCGAACTACCCTATCGCCTCTACTATCTAAAGATAAGCGCGGCCTTACCTTGCCGACTCGAATAACCGACTAGGTATAGAAGAACTGTAGCAAGGCCCTTAATAAGTTTATTAAGGCAAGGAACAATAATCTAGAGCGTAAAGGCTACGCGCCGGTATCTGCTAAGGAGTAGGAAATAGAATTTACTATAAAGGAGATTAAGTCTTTCGGCTAGCTTTTTAAGCCCGATATAGACCTATATACTTACTTCCTTAACGAGCTTATAGAAAGCCTACGTATTAAGGACATTATCGCGGAGCTTAAGAAGCAGACGGCTAATACCGTTAAAGATAACAAGGGCCGTAAGGCCGTAGTAATAAGCTATTCTAACGTAGTAGCTTACACTATTAATCTAGTAAGCTCTGCCTTCGTAAATAAGAGCTAAAGCAATATACTAATACTTCTATCTAGGCGTATAAGAAGGCTAGTCTAAAGTCGTAGCTATTTAACTTAAGGGTGCCGAAGGACGCTAGCTAGCGATTATAACTAATCGTAGAGTTTAATCGGTCCTAGACGTCGGGCGTAGACATTCTCGTCTACTCTATAAGTATAGCTAAGCGTAGCTATAATATAGTCGAAGCGAACTTGTTGCTTATAGCCGACCTTAACTAGAACCTTATAGCGAGTAAATAGGCGAAGACGAGGGAGAATCGGGTAGGCTAGAAGCGTAAAGTAAGAATAGTTTAATACTACTCCTATAGCGTATAGATCGAGCATTAGATGCTAGATAAAGAAGAGCTAGGTAATACGGCTCTAAGATCCTTCGATACGAAGGTTAATAAGATACGAGTAAAGAAGGCTATAGAGGAAGATTCTATTATGCTCGACGATTCGGATAAGGGCGGTGCGGGCTTCGTAGGAGACTAGGATAATAAGCTTTAGTCCAGAATAATAACTCTAGGCGTCTTCAACACATCCTCCAAAACATGAAAATCCCGTACCAGATTTCTTTGTACAGTAGTGTAGAAGTGGCTCCAGACGTCTGGACCGAGTCAGATGGCATGCCGTCTTGGAAATGCCAAGACCTGCCCGGCCAACTGGGCCCATGGGGGACGAGAAGGCACAGGAAAGACCAGCAGTCATCGCACGTACGAGCGGCGTACGGAGTTTGTATAGGCCGCGCTCGAGAAGATACATCAGTGAGAAGAAAACGAAGCGTCTTCCTTCATCGCTCGAACTTTATTGGTGTCAAAAGATACATCGGAAACCAGCAGCGCCTCTCTCGCCGCCTTGCGCATCTACACCTTCTTCCTCCGCCTTTTCGACCTTCTTATTCTCTCGCTGTTGTATGACTCTCGACATATCTCTGCGTCATCCGGTATATACTGACGAGCTGCTGAGCTTGGATACATGGATGAAGCGTACGCTGAAGCGGTGTTGCCGATCATGTCCGCCATAGCTGCGCAAGCTGGACGGTCTCTTGACGAGTGGTCGTGAAAACGAGTTCGCGACCCACGAGACGATGGTATGCGCAGAGACGGCCCCCATTGGCAGGCATCGGGAACATGGCAAAGAACAGCGTTACCTGGATAGAAGCAGCTACCGATGAGAAAAATGGCGGCAGGAAAGGAAGGCGCTTCCACAAATCTGCGAGAAAATCAGCAGGTGTTGGGCATACGCAGACTCAGAGCGAAGCTATCCATCAACAGATTGGCAGAGTCAGTCAGCTGTGCGTCTCTGCAGCACGTAACAACGACCAAAGCGGTGACTGTGAATGTGTTGCTGCGGCAAAGTATAGAACTATCAATGGGCGAACTCTTGTAATCAGTATACCGTATTGCTCGGCAGCTGCATGAGCAAGCCAACGAAGAAGGAAGAAGATTCGTTGCCAGGTTGAAATCGGTGCCTTGTGCCAAATTCGGCCTGTTGAGGAAGTTGAGAAGATACTCTACATCACGATATCAGATCAGCAATGGAAGCAAGTGCGCCTAGACTATTGCAGGAAGCCGGCGCACGTGAATCGAATGTCAAAAGCCGACACAAGCCGACGGGGGAAGAGACATCATTCTACCGGCGCTGTCATCGTACAGCTCCGTGGCGTGTTGAATTGCGTTGGGGGCACGAGAGTTGAGATTTCTGTGGAAACTAATCCGCACCACAATCCCATTTACAACTCGGAAAGCACCATCTCCAGTCCGCACCCACCATCACCACACCTGACCATGAAAATCCTCATCACCGGAGCAGGAGGCTTCGTCGGCCAACTCCTCGCCGAACACCTCCTGAACGACGGCCACAAAGTCATCCTCACCGACATCTTCGAACCCCCAATCCCAGCCGCAGCCGAGAACCAAGAAAATGCCACCGCCATCCAAGCCGACATCTACGAATCCCCAGAATCCGTCCTCGCCACAGACCTAGACGCCATGTACGTCTTCCACGGAATCATGTCGGCCGGCAGCGAAGCAGATTTCGACCTAGGCTACCGCGTAAATCTCCACAGCACTCTGAACCTCCTCGAAGCAGTGCGCAAAACCGTGCCCGGCCTACGATGGATCTACGCGTCCAGTACGGCGATATTCGGCCAACCGCTTCCAGAAATTCCGAGTGAGGAGACGGTCCCGACGCCCCAGGGTAGCTATGGAACCCAGAAAGCCATGGTCGAGTATCTGATCAACGACTACAATCGACGGGGTTTCATCAACGCCTTCACGCTCCGCTTCCCCACGATTTCCGTGCGACCGGGGAAACCGACTCAAGCGGCGAGTAGTTGGATGAGTGGGATGATTCGGGAACCACTGCAAGGCAAGGAAAGCGTTTTGCCTTGTGATGATGATTTCAAGGCTTGGCTTTGTTCGCCCAAGACGTTGGTGAGGAATTTGATTCATGCTTTGACGTTGAAGAATGATGCTATGCCGCCGCATATTCGACAGGTTCTGCTTCCGGGCATCACGTCGACGGTGAAGGATATGCTGGATGCTTTGAGGGATGTTGGAGGGGAGCAGGCTGTGCGGCTTGTGAAGAGGGAGAAGCCGAGTGCGGAGATCAAGGCTATGCTCGATAGCTGGCCCACCACTTTTGATGTTTCGAAAGCTTTGAGCTTGGGATTTGTTGGTGATCAGAGTTTCAAGGGTGCTGTGGAAGATTTTGCCGCGACTTTGAAGAAGTAAAGCATTGAGTAGCTTGGGATGGATGATATGCAGCGAATATTATTATATTGCTTCCACGGTGCTGATCATGCCTTTCCACTGCTGCCAATAGCGTCCATCCACTTCTCCGTCAACTCTTGTATGAGATCCGTACCCTTCTCCATCAATTGTGTCAAAGGCACCTTGCCAGTGTTCTCCGCAACATAAGCATTGTACTTGTCGAGCACAAGCTTGTTGACATTGATTCGTGTCACACCACGATCGATGCACTTCGCCATAATGTCAGGAGGAAATTCGTTCGTACCATGCAGGACGATCTGCACCCGGCCACCAGCCTTCTTCTGGATCGTTTCTAGTCTGTAAGAGAAGTCAATATGCAGCACAGTCATGCTCCTTTGGTCGGCATCCTTACCGATCATAGTCCAAGTGAATATTCTCAACACCATGATAATCTCCATGGACATTCCCGAAAGCCGGAGCCAAAAAGTCGATACCAGTCGCAATGAAATCATCCACCTCTTCTTCCGTGGTCATCATGCCCTCCAACTCAGCCGTGTCCTTCACACCGTCCTCACCGCCTTCAATCCTCCCCGGCTCAGCTTCTGTGGAAATACCCCTCGAATGGCATAAAGCAACAAGCTCTTTCGTCTTTGCCAAATTCTCCTCTTTCTCGTAATGTGACATGTCAACCATAATCGAGTCGAAAGCAGGGGTACCATCAGCAGCTTTAATCTGTGAAGCTTGCTTGATGATCTCTGGATCTTGTGCATGGTCCATGTGCACTGTGACGGGGACTTTGGCTTTGCGAGCGGCATTGGCTGCGAGATCGACGAACAATGGCGAGTATTGTAATGCCCATGGGAAGAGGAGGATTTGAACTGGGGAGCGTTTCTTTTCTGCTGCTCGAATGACTGCTACTATGGTCTCGAGATTGTAGGATACGACTCCGAGTACACCATATTTGCCCTCTGCAGCTTGATTCAGCATCTGCACTGCGCGGTTGTTGGAGAGTTTGTCGAGCGTCATGGCAGCGATTCCGGTGATCTTGCGAGTAGAGGCTGGGTGTCTTCGTAAGGATGTGTGTAGGCTGTAGAGACTGGACGTGAACAGAGTCAATAGCTTCAATTACACCCACAAATTGCGTCGTTTCGAATCACTATCAGATGTCAGTCCATGTTTACACTGGTTCTCCACCGCCGGCGGGGCAGGTCGAGCGGTTTCGCTGATCTCGCTCAAATGCCGTCCGATGCCGAGCGCATTGGCTGTTCAGCCGGTTGAGGACGCAGCAGCATCATGCTGAGGCGGACTATGGCCATTTACTGCTCTGATGGTAAGTAATCACCTCCGTCTGCGTGGAAGCTGTCGTATTGTGTGGCAGAAATAGGCAACGATGAGTATGCCGAAAGAGATCTGAAAAGGAGAGGTCGGGTAATCGATCGAACCTTGATGGGCGCCGTGAATGCCAGCCACATTGCACTCAGCATCCACAATGGGTCGCTAGAGCCAAGAGCCAGAGAAGTAAGAGAACATGCCTGCTCTTGCAAGCAAAATGCTCGTTTGATGCATGCCGAATTTCCTGGTATTTCATTACTGATTCTACACACGATATTGGCTCCCTAGACGCCTTGATTTGTGGCGTTTTTGAAGTGGTACCGCTCTCGTATGGAGGTCCTCGATGCTTAGGTCGAAAACATTCAACGCAAACGTCTCCTTGTCCATCTGAAACTCATAGCTGATGTGACCCGTCGTACCACGGATTCGTCACCGACCTGATGCAGTGGCGTTCGGCGCCTACGCATCCAGGGCGGTAATCACTGGCGAAAGAGAGCTTGGCGATCATCGTCAAGATGACTTTTAGTTCTTTCAGCAGCCCAGCATCTGTCGAAATCCGAGGTCGCTCGAGGCTTTCTCTATTGCCAGTACGCGACAAGGTTGCATGAATATATGTAGGCCGAAGCTCCCTTGAACTTCCTGACTGTGAATCGCTGAAGCGAGAGCAGTCGCTATGGCTCCAACGACGTCTCTTGATGAGATTATAGTCCCTATATGGTACTCCGCTGTCGTTGCGACGATGTTTCTTGGGACTCTACCTCCTAGCACCTCCACCGCGATAGTGATCTCCTCTGATGCCACCTCTATCACCGCGGCCTCGTCCTCGGAAGCCACCTCTGGCTGGCCTTCGACCAAAAAGACCAAAGTCTGCGCCACCATCAACAAGCCGATCACCATCTTCAAAAGTGTATCTTCGAAGTTCGCCCTCGGCATAAAGGGATGGATCAGCTTGCCGATCATCCCAATCGCGACTTGTACCCTGAGCAAGCTCCTGGAGGCGACTCTCTACCAGCTCTTGAGCTACTGGCTGATAGTAGATCTTGGGCTTCGACTCCGTGAATTTGTAGTTTGCATCCAGCGAGTCGAATGACTTAGACTGAGCCGCTCTTTCTCGTTGCGGAGTCGGTGGCTGCAGTGATTGTGATGAATATCTTCGTGGACCTGAAGGCGCGTTTGGCATGCCGTCTCCATGCCGGGCTGGTGGTCGCATTGATGGAGGGCCGCCAGCATTTGAGGGCTTTCCACCAGGGCTAGCTACATCTTGGAGAGATGTAATCACGCCCGAATCGGAATCTTCATACACGACCTCCCATCTTACGTTTCGAGCTTCTCTGTTGACTTCAGTGTCGATCCATTCCTGCACTTTTTCGTTTGGGATGTAGTCCACCCATAAAGCCTTGCGTTGCGGCTCATCCGGCCACACCTTATCGTGAAGAGCGGCTCTTACTCGGGTAGCCGCTGACTTGGAGCCGAAGAGGACAAAAGCGTGCGTGCGGAGCTTATCCAGATGGAAGATCTCTATTGCCGAATCCTCAGAGGACGATACAGCGAGCAAATGCTCACGGAGATGTTCAGGCTTTAACGGGCGGACGAGGTTGTTGAGATATAGAGCGCGGGTAACAGGGTGTCTCGAAGGGGGCGATGAAGTATCCATTTCCACATCTTCATCTTCAGTGGCATCCGGACGAGGACGAGACTGCGTAGCTCCAGCTGCACCGACTGCTTCAGTCATGGCGGAGTCTGCCTCTGGCTCCTTCATTTCCACGACATCATCACTGCTGCCATATGGAAGCACTTTCCTCTCGGCTTCGGTATCTTGGTCCATAGGCACCGGGGCTTCGGCAGCGACATGTTCAGGTAGCTTGACAGGCTGCTCGTCGGCTGTCTTGAGCTTCTTGCTGACGGTCTCGTCGCTCAATGGCGGTGTCGCGCTTCGTCGCTTCCGCTTGTTCGACACTTCAGCATCGCTTCCACTGCGCTCATCCTCCGCATTCCCTGACTGTTGTTCCGCCGCAGTCGCGTTATTGCCGCTGCCATTTTCTCCTGCAGTCTCTGCCGGAAGCTCCGCGTCCGCCTCCTCTTCCGCTGCCGTCTCTACCTCTACCCTCTCGGTCTCAGCTGCCTGAGCTCCCTCTCCAGACTCACCTTGTGCATCTTCCGCTTGCAGCGCATCGATGAATTGCTGCTTCAACTTCAGGCCAGTAGAAGTGATGCCGCGCTCCTTCACCAAATCTTTCAGGTCAGCGACCTTGAGCTTGTCGTAGTCGGTCATGGCGATGTTGAAGGAACAATGGACATGGCCAATGGATATCAAGCTAAGCAGGCAGAGAAAAGATGCCGGAAGTGGTAGGGAGGTCAAGTGTGAGAAAAGACTTTAGACTGGAAATGGAAACAAGACGAGACGGGAACAGCATTGACGTACCCTGCAGCTGCCACGCGGAAGCTTAGCGGCAGCACTGGAGATCATTGCATGCAGGCGTCGGGAGCAGCCGAGAGTCATCAACATGCCATGCCATGCGTATCAGCTCACTTCTGCGCCTCCAGCCGTCATTATCGAAGGAAACATTATCGGCTTGGCAGTCGCTGAAAATGGATAAATCAAGGGTTACTACATAGACAGAACTGCTTTATTTCATACGTACCAGGTAAGACATTGTCCGGCTCCTCTCGGCGAAATGCTTGTCTTCTCGGCACTATGCGAAGCAATACAATGCGTCAACATACGCAAATGAACAAGACTCCAGCGCGAGCGATCTCACTCAGATCATGATGAATAGAGACAGAACTGTGATTCACTTCACCCTCACGCTCTGCAGATACCTCGAATTCCGTAGCAGCCATCCTCCCACAACAGCAGCTGAAGCAACAGCACCCATAAGTAAAGTGCGATCGCTCACAGTCGTCTCCTCCTTGACTCTTCCAACGTGCAGCGACTTCTTCTTGCTTACAAGATCCGTGGCTCCATCCGCCTCGAAGTCGTCATAGTTCACGTTCTCGACCATCTTCTGATACTCGACGACAGTCCTACTCCAATTGTTCGTGATCAAGCCTGCTTCATTCTTGTACCAGCTGTGACAGTTCGGATCGTTGAATGTGGTGTTCTGTAGTTCGCTCTGGATCTGCTTGTTGAATTCTTCCAGGACGTTTTTCTTCGGCCGCAGTGATAGTGCCTTGCCACTCTTTCTCGCGTCAAGGACGGGCTTGATCAGGCCATTGATGTATCGACTTTGAGCTTCAATCATGAGAATGATGCTGTTGTGGCCCAAGTTGGTGTTCGGCCCGTACAGCATTCCGAAATTTGGCATGTCTTCGACGACCATGCCGTATAGAGCCTGAGCCCCGTCTTTCCAGATGTCGGAGATCTCGCGGCCATTCATTCCAGTGAGCTTGATTGGATGCATGAAGTCGACCGTTTTGAAGCCCGTAGCACAGACTACGAGATCGTAATCACTCTCCGCATCGACGACTTGCTCGGGCCCAGCCGAAGAGTCAACAACCTTGACTGCTCGTCCCTCAATGCTGGAGATTGGCCGGGTCTCAAGCACGACGTTGGACTGGTTGATGGCCGGGAAATAGTCGTCGCTGATGATGATACGTTTGCAGCCTAGCTTGTACTTAGGCGTGAGTTTTTCCCACAGATCTGGTCGGTCTGGGATCTGAGCTCGCATCATTTCCTCTGACATTTGCTGGAACGTCTTGCCAACTTCACCATCAGGTTCACCAACGAAGCCGTATGTCCACTCGCGGAAATCCATCAAAGCCGCTCTCTTTCGTGCCAGGACACCTGGTACGTATTTGTATATCGATCTCCATAAAGGCGAGACTGGACCATCTTGACGAGGCACAACCCAGTTTGGTGTGCGCTGGAAGACTGTGACGTGCTTTGCGACTTTAGCAATCTCCGGCAGTATCTGCACAGCTGTGCAACCTAGATGTCGGGCATTGTCAGAGGCAGTACATCTCAACAAGGAGCCCGGATCATACCATTGCCAATCAAAGCGATCTTCTTGTCTTTCAAATCGTACGACCAATCCCACCTGGCAGAGTGCATCTTTTTACCTTCGAAATTGTCCAGCCCCTGTATGTTCGGCCATTGAGGCACGTTCAATTGGCCCACAGCACTGACGACGAAGTCGGCTTTGATCTCGTACTCTGGGGTGTACTCTGCCTCTTTCGAACCTGGCGCGGTCTTGACACTGACTTTCCACTTCTTCAGCTCATCGTCCCATTTCGCATCCTGAACCATAGAGTTGAACCTGAAATGTTGCAGAAGCTTGTAATCTTGAGCGACTCCCAACAGGTATTGCAAGATTTCTTCTTGGCCTGGATAGTCGCGAGTCCACGATGGGTTCTGGGCAAAGCTATAGCTGTAAAGCTGTGACCACACATCGCAGCAGCAGCCTGGGTATTTGTTGTCGTACCTAGGAATGGTTGTTCAGCTTCATGCGGTGCTTGGGGGTGTTGGGTTAACGTGAGCTCACCATGTTCCACCGAGAGATGCGCTCTTCTCTAGAATGATGAAGTTACGACACTTGTTCCTTCTGAGAAGGTCAATGGCAACGCACATGCCACTGAGACCTCCTCCTATGATCACAACAGCGGCGTTCGCATGATTCTGGTTTCCGATGGGAACCTCTGGCCAAGGGACCTCTCCAGTCATTGTTGCTAGATCCCTCCTCCCGAAATGTAGACTCAATAGCTCCACAAAGCCAAGCAAGCAGTTGTGCCGTCCTAGTCAAGACCTAGATCAATGGGAATGTACAGGGCAGAGAAGATCATACAAGGAGCTCGGTAGCAAGTGTAGAGGAGTGCCACTTACCAGCCCACGAGACGATACCCTCGGGTGAGAAGAACTACTCGTGTATCGTGACAGAGCTCTCGCGAGCGCCATGATGCACACACGCAACAGCGTGACCTGTGCGGGTTAGCTTGCTTGGTTGGTTGGTTGGAAGGGAAGAGCCGAAGAGGAGGTTGGCGGAGACTCCGGAGAGGTGGCTGCCAGGTTGTTGGGGAAATGCGGAGACCCGGATCGGATCTGATATCTGCGTTCGGAAAGACAGCGTCGAAATCACCCAAACACAGATGTTCAACGCGACCTGCACTCCCATACACGCGATCAAGGAGCTGTCGAACAGTCCACAAGAGAGACATGTCAATTGCGATGCTGCCATAGCTTCAAAATCCTTGCTGTCTATGCCACTTCGCTTCCCAACCAGGATAGAAGGGAGCTTCGTCCAGCGTCCTAGGCTGCCAATTATCCTCAATCAATCCCTTCTCTCTTTGCTCACGCTCACACATCTCAAGATACGGGATCACAACATGCTCTGTATGCCATGTGCCCTTGTACTCCATGAGATTCTTCTTCCCCTCCCTCAACACCTTCAACACCAAACTTGGAACATACGGTTCATCTCTAAACTCAGTCACAGGTGTGAATAGTGCTTTGAAGTTGAATACGACAGCACCAGATAGCGGCAGTCTTCTGAGAGTCTGCCAGTCCACTCGGAGATGGATGCGATCGATTCCATGTTCAGGATTCTGGCTCTCGCGATGCAATTCACGAGGGTCTCCAGGCGGCATGAATAAAGGCTTATCAATCTCTAAACCCCAGGATCCTCGCTGAATGGGCTTTTCTGTGGGCTTCTTGGAGAAGTATCGATCCATGGAGAACTGCATCTTCTCCTTGTAATCTGGAATCGGCGCATGGATCTCATGCAATTTGAGGCCGATTTTGCTTCCGAGAGTCCACCCCAATGAAGACATAATGATCCCGCCACGGAAGGAGTAGATGCCGGTTTCTGGATCTCGGATCATGATCGCGAAGTCTTCTGGGATGTTGTGGAGTAGCACCTGCATTGGTGGTGTGGACTGGAGATCGGTCTGTGTGTCGAGAACACGATTTCGGAGGACCAGGTTCGCAGCGTCTAAGGAGAAGTAATGAGGGTATCGGGCGCAGAGGAACTGCAGGCACATTTCCATGAGCTCCTTTGCTGCCATCTCGGATCCTGGAAGAGTCTGAATGACGGCTGGGCCATGCTTCTCGAAGAGCTCTTCTCGAAGGCGTATCGTCTCCCTGTAGTCTCTATCAAGTTCGAGCCACCAGTCGGACTCCATCTTTGTGAGCGCTATGGTCATGTCAGCACCATACTCAGGCATCTCGATGGCAAGCTTACACATGGTCTGGTGATATGCCCATCGAAATGGTCGATACGGTCGAGGCAACGCTGTGTCGATCCTGAATTCCTCGAAAGGCTCTGGAAGGGGAACTCCGCTCAAGGTAGCATAATCCGGAAAGTCGCCAAGTCTCTGGACATCACCCACTGTGAAGCCTGTGGCAGTGAAGTGATGGAGAAACTCATCCCTCGTTGGCGTCGATTTATCAGGAGTGAGGCGGCTGTAGTCGATAGGCTGCTCAGCAAGCTCTTTGGCCGATCTTCCAGGTCCCTTTAGAGCATCGGCAGCGAGCTTTGCGAAAATGTGCCTCCGGCTTGGGGGAAAGGCATCTCCATACGCTGGACTTGACGTGTCCAATGTTGTTCGGTTTGGAGGGAGTCCTTGCTTCTCTAGCGACAGTTCTCGAGGTGGAGTGAAGACTGTAGAAGGTGTTCGCGCTTGTGCGCCTAGCTTGGAGAGGAGCCCATTGCGTGCCTTTGTGTTCAGTATGAGGTAGACAATTGAGCCGATGATCGCAGCAGGCAACAAATAAAGAGGAAGCTGGAACATATCGCTCAAGGTCTTTCCAGCTCTGTTGTAAAAAGCGACGCCGCTTCTAACCCCAAGTTAGAAGTAGCTTGTATAACTTTATGGTACAACAAGCTCCACGGAGTATATCAGTTCTGAACTCAATATGTTTGCACTTGACAGGGTCATACATCAACCACCCATTGATTTGATTAGTCCTCTATTGATGACCTTGCGAGGATCACATGTAGGGAGCTCAATGGTTAGCAATTCATACTACACAGGACGAACTGAAAGTCAGGTGAGAGGACAAACCTGCCTAGGTCGGATGGTGAAGGGCTGAAGCTTCATGTGTTGTATCTTCTACTCCTCAGCTTGTCCAATCAGCGGCGTCTACACCTTGATAAGTGACGCCCTCACGCTATCTGTGCGTGCAAGCAATCTGTGGGGTACTACAGCTTGGCCGGCTATTCTCTGATTGGTAGTGCTGTCCTCGAACACGTGCTCTCTTGGCTTCTGCCTCATCCTCCGCTCAGCCTTCTGGATTGCCACCGAGGCTTCTGGATCAGCAGTCGCGAGCGCCGAACTTGTAGTTCTTTGGAGATGAGGGCTTGTGCCGACTCTTGTCCCTCAGTGTCTGCATGACACAGTGCTCGCATCGGCAGAAAGGTGCCTTCAACTTGGTAGCTTCGACAACTCCATCGTCCACCCGCAGTCCCATCTCCTTCATCTTCTTGACAAGCTTCTTCTTGACAAAGCGGAGTTGCTCATTCCGAGAATACACAATATGAAAGGATGTGATCTTGGAGGCGTTCTCAGGACCGATGGATTTCAGCCACCTCATAATGACACCTCTGTCCTTGGGCGTGTCAAAGATAGTTGCGAAGAAGTGGTTGCTCGCGTGGAAGATGCCCAGAGTCTCAGCTCTAACCGACTTTGAGACCTGGGCAATCGCGAGCTGGACGGATCTGGCAACGCGCTGATGGGAGTGGACGGCGCCGCGGCATGTGCAATCGTGGTGCGAAGCAGTCTTGCCTTGCCTATTGACCCAGAGCAGAGTTGAGCGATGCGCATGACCACAATGCCTTGTGCCTTTCTTCCACTTGCAGCAATCGCGTACGATGTATGGCCATCTGTAAAACTTTCGGGGTGGGCCGTCGGTCGTTCTCTTAGACAAATGCTCGTAATGGATTGCGCCGCAGTCACCAAAAACGGTCGTGCTGCATATGCGACATTGATAGACCTTCAAACAGCCGCTCAGATCGTAAATGCGGTTGCGAAGCTCGGCTGGCAGACTCATGAAGTTGACTGGTTCGTTTCCTGCAGCAGTAAGCACTTGGCTTGCCAGGAGCATGTCAAGAAATCACTCACTTTCTTGTCGCTCAATCCTGATATCCAGTCGGCGAAGCTGGGACAGCAAGTCTGCGCGTTGCTGCCGCAGCGCCTCTAGGCCGCTGGCATGTGGTGTCACGAACTCCATGTCTGGCAGAATATTGTTGGTCTAGCCTCGGAAGCCGATGGGTCAACGCAACAAGTCGAAAGTGAGCTGGTGTTTATTTTGTGCTAGGCTAAGTTCAGTGCAGCACCGTGAAGGTATGGCCAGGTGAGTCTTGGCACGCAAACAACGCACCTGCTCACTTCGCCTTCCACATCCTCGGCGCTTGCCTGGACAAGGGACTAGAAGTTGGAGGGTACACTACATAACAGTCCGTTCGGCTGATCTGGTCCAATGTTAAGATTCGCAGAGTCACAGAATATCACAGTCTCCAACACCCAGAGCGACAAGGTCTGCGTTGATGAGGGAAGGCTGTCGCGCGCAGTCGCATTCCGACTCTTGCAGGATATGAGTTCGATTCTCACGGTCAGCCATACATTTACTTACTTACATGCTTCTTTTTAGCTCCTTTCGCGTCGAATAGTCGGTATTTTGTAGCTCTCCCGCCTTGCTGAGAATGCCCATAGTCCAAACATGATCGGCCTGAAGCTGAGTCAGGATATACCAGTAATCCACAGGATTCATCTGCTGAAGCAGATATAAAAGTTCACTAAAACTCAGTCCTTCCGGTCGATCTGGTTCAACGGTCAGATTCGTGGGGTTGGTCCGTAGGCAGTTCAGAGAGACCTACGCGTCTGATGGGCTGCAGCGCTTTGTCGCATCTCGCGCCCACGGAATCAGAGTTAGAATCCCTGGGTTTGCCACCTCTTTTCGAACTTCTTTTTACTCTCGATTGAATATTCCCACGAAAACTGACTGCTTTGTTTTTGCTTCGTCGGTGGCTGATCAGCTTCAATGATAGAGCACCTGCTTTACTTCCCATCAGAAGGAGAGCCCTGAGGGGCACCAATTTCGTAAAAAGAGATGCGTGGCTCGACGCCCGGCGATCAGCAAGGACTTTTTGCTGGCCGGTTCATGACCATTCCACGACCCAAGTCGCGCCATATACAGGGCCTGCTAAATCATCTGCAATCCTGCTGCTCTCATTGCCATTTCCAATTTCTCGAGGTCACCGCAATCAGATACTCAAGACGCTCGATCGAACATTTGACCTCCGTGTCCATAGATTGTCACAGGCATAGATTTCTCGAGTCAGTTTCGCAGCTTTACCAGGCGCGTCCATGGTTGAGGTTCGTGTTTGGCGATCACGGAAGGCTCCAACGACAGAACAATCTGACGCCTTCATCCGATTGCTTCCAGCTTGAAGCCAAAACGTGAGAACGATATCATTGCAAGTGTGCGTGTGGAAGTAAGTTGTTCCGTGGAAAGTGAAGTGTGAAGTCATCTCAAAACTGCGGCTGCGGCCGATTTGCGGCCGCTCTCGACACACAACCGCGTCTCCGCGACACGAAACATCTGTAGCATCGGAACACACCCCAAGATGTCTTCGGACGAGGGCAGCTCTGGCTCAGAGATTGAAGATGTATCAACGACAGGTCTCATCGCCACGCGCACAAAGCGAGCCACAGCAGGAAATCTGTATGCAACTCTTCGGCATAATCTCGACGACGAGGAATTGCAGAAGGAATTACTGGCCGAAGATGAGGACGACGTCGGCGACTACGAAGGCTCCGATAAAGACGATGACGATGCCATGAGCTCGTCTGGCGATGAGGATGATCAGGGACCAGCAGCAGAAGGCGACAAGGAGGATTTGGAAGGAGAGAAGGAGCTGAAGAAGGCAGAGCGAGCACAGAACAAAAAGAAGCGCAAGCTGGAAGAGGCCAAGAAGCGCATACCAAACTGGCAAAAGAAGCGCGTCAAGCTGGCCGACGATGCAAAGGCGGAAGATGGCCAGCCTGCGAAGCCAAAGAAGAAGAGTGAGCGGTCCAACTGGCTGCCGACTGCTGCTGATGCACCGACACGGCAGTCTTCGCGTACCTCAGCTGTGGCGAATCGGGAGATGGTGCATACGAATCTGAAGGAGTCTAACGAGCGGAGCGAAAAGCAGAAGACGGTCATGAGCAAGCACAAGGAGAGGCTGAAGGCCAGCCAGCGAGCACCCATATCGCAGGAGGAGAGATTTGCTAAGGCAGCGAGGATCGAGAAAGAGACTGCGAGAGAATTTGGAAGATGGGAGAGAGAAGAAGCAGAGCGACAGCGGATTCGCGAGGAGCAGCTGGCAGCAAAGAGGAAGAGAGGCATCGATGGGCCGGTGATCAGACACTGGAGTGGCAGCGTGCTATGGGAAGGCGATAAGATTAAGAATAAGCGATTACGTGCCAGTCAAAATGTTGACGACATTGAGGACAAGCCGAAGGAGACAGAAAGCAGTGCGGATGCCGCAGATGGGGATGTGAGCATGATCGATTGCACTGCTGAAGGTAGCACCGAGAAGCCATCAAATGCTTCATCCGCCGCTCCTACAAATCCTCCGTCCACGCCAGTAGCCATGAGCGTCGCAACGCCTGGATTTGCTGGCAGTCAGCCTCTTAGGCCAGCAATACCTGCTCCGCATTCACAACCTGCCCAAACAGAGACACCATTCCAGCCGTCATGGCTTGATGGTATACATGCCTACGCAAATCAACCAGATCCTGCCGCATCGTCCTCGTCTGCTCCTCCATCGCAACCTGCTGTCACGGCGAGTCCATACACACCAAGCGCGCCCTCAATCAATGCTCCTCCAGACCAACCTGCACCACGGCTTCCACCACTAGCTCCACAGCCGACTCCTGGACCGTATTCGACCCCGTCACAACCATCCATCTATCATGGCTGGCCAGCAAGCACAGGATACGGTCAATTCCAGATACCTACCCCGTATCAGCAACCACTACCACCAGCTCCTCCGCCTCCACCAATCAAAGAGCAAGCCAGACGTTCTCTGATCATTCTAGAGCAGTTTGAAAACCTCGAGACCAACGACAAAGGCAAAAAGTCCGCTTCAAAGTCCAAAGATGCTTCTCTAGAGCCATCACAGACCGCCTCCACGCTCTTGCCAGACTCATATCCTTCCTTCAACCAAGAACAGACCCGCTATCTCACAGGCAAGCTGAAGCGACCCACGACCACGAATAAAGCTGCGGACATAAGCCTCTTGCCAAATGCCCCTGTCAAGCAGAATTGTGCTTTCACGCCCTTTCCTGCAAAATTCAGAGATCCCAAGACTGGCTTGCCCTATGCTGATATGCTGCAATTCAAGAATATACAACGTATCTTGAATGATGGGTGTCAGTGGTCGAGTCTGTTGGGATGTTGGGCTGGACCTCGGTATGGTAGTATTGGCAGGTCGGCAGTCGGCGTACCTGATGGTTTCTGTCGGCCGATAGAGGAAGAGCACGAGGTAAGAGCTACGGGACAGGATGTGATGAAGGTGGAGAATACTGGATGAAGAGTTATGATTTGTATGACTTGTAATGATTAATGAGTTGGACGCGCGACAGGGGTGAGGTAAACGATCCATCGTCCACACGCTTCTTTCTCTGCATGCTGCTACAATGCCCCTGCCTGGCTCCTGGATACCCTCGCCATCGGCTCAGATTGAGAGTGCCTTGCAAGAGTTACTCAATGATCAATGGATTGGATACTGGACCTGTCGAAGACTTACAGACTTTGCTGCTCCTTTCATGCCTATGTAGATCTGCAAGCTCGAAGCACTGGCGACACGACCAGACCTAGGTCGAGTTGCTGTTGTCTGCACAACTCCAAGGACTACTGCGATCGGACGAGTTTACAATCCCCAAAATGGCACCATAGGTTCCGCCAACGGTGATGAAAGAGCCGGCACCAATCATAAAAATAGACATGCCCAGACCAAAATACCATTTCCAGCTCCGCTCTGGCCTCTTGAAGTTATCAAAAAGCCACATCATTCCTGAGGGCTGAAAGCACGTTACCGTGGCAAGTAGTGCTCCAACAAGTGAAAGGAGTTGATCGAAAACAGGGATTCCAGATCCAATGAGGTATGCAACCACGGCGATGGTTGCTGTGCATGTGAGCCAGGCCATCCAATGAATCGGGGTGTTTGTCGTCAAGTGTTTGGTGCCTCGCATAAATCGCATGAAGATGGTTTTAGCAGGCATATGCACAAAAAGCATGCAGCTGGCTGTCAACCCCGGCAAGGCTATGCCATAGCAAATCTTCTTCATGAGAGAGCCTGCAGATCCAAGAGCCGGTGACGCAACATAAGAGCCGCAATAATAGTAGACTACGACGCCGATCACAAGGTAGACGACGGTAATGGCGCCCTGAGCGATGAGGAGCGATCTGGTGTAGTGGTGTGGGTTTCGCATCTCGGAGTTGACGGAGAAGAAGGCTGGCAGGCAAGAGAATGCGAAGACAATCGTTGACACAGCCGAGATAGCCTCAGGAAAGGTTGACGAGCCGAAGACCTTGAAGTCGGATTCTGTGACACCAGCAGGAGCATCTGCAGGCCGACCATTCACTCCTACAGCAATGGTGAGAGTGAAAATGGCACTCAAGATTCCGATAACACCCGCCCAGGCGATGAAAGAGACCTTGCCCAAGGTCTGAATACTGCCGAACAGGAAGCCGATCAGACAAGCAACAACCACGAAGATGGCAGTGCAGGCGCCATGTTCCGACAATGAGTTCAGGGCGATGGAGATGCTCAACATGGCTGAGGCCGCAAGGAACGTGAAGTCTGTCTGAAGTCAGCATCGATGTTGATTTGTACAGGCAGGTCGAGCTTACGAAGCACAAAAGCCCAGAAGAAGAACTCGCGACCGACTTTTCCGGCCATGATTCGTCCAGCATCGTCAATTCCATAGACTTGAGCATGCGTCAACTTGAACCGGCCCACCATCCAAGCAGCCCAAGTAGTCATGAAGGCAATGACAAGAATAGTGATAACTCCAGGCACCATGCCGAGGTGGTCGAAGGCACCAGGAATCCCGAGAACCCCTAAGCCAACTTGCGTCTTGAATAATAAAACAACCGTTCCCATCCAGCCGACCTGCTTGAACGTTGGCAATGGCTCGCACAGTCATTCGTCTCGACGATACACTCACATTCCGATAGTTCGGTCCATCTTTACGGAGCTCGCCGAACACAGCATCCTGCGTAGAGGTAGCATCCTCCGGCTTGACACAATCCTCTACCTCGCCCAGATCACTCGTCGGCACCGGAGCCAGATCATCGTCAGATTGCTGCTGCTTCTTGTCCCTGAACATCGTCGCAGATGGATGGCTCTGGAAACTCGGACAGTGCGAAAGTGTGTTCTCAAGAATTGCGGAGACTTGAAAAGAAAACCCACAAGGTGCGAGCGCACTATGTGGAATCTGTTACATGAGAATTTCATGACGGCCCATGGGGAAGGCTTCCATTTCGGATGATTGATCATTGCTTGCTCGGCTACCAACGGGTCGAAGAATGAATGGGACGTGCGAAATTCTCCACAGTATTGAATTCGGCATGTTTTGTCAGTGTGTGGACTAAGGCTTGGCAAAAGCGATTATCATCGTCTTGTTCATGTTTTCTGGAATTGTAGTGCTTTGCAAAGGTCTTGGCTGTCAATTGCCCAGCAGAGTGGTGCGTGTTGTTTCGAGAGAATTTCCAAATTCGCTTCCGAGAGAAAGACCGACGCTGGTCTTGCCGTGGTTGTGCCGTGAATCAAGCAATGCTTTCCGGTTCGCTTCGCGCCAAGAAATATATGGAACGAAGTTGCGCCTTCTGCCATGGCGCGATGATGTCTTGGCTTTCTTCACTAGCATCGGCATTTGAGAGCCAAGTGTCGACTCGATCTGTCAGCCGGCTTCTACAAAAGGCCCGCACACAGCCTTGTTCCCAAGCGAACTCCTTAGCAGCGAAGGCATGTTGACCGAGCCTGAGCCCATGCTTCTGTCTCAGTGCATTAGTTACTACCATCGGCAGATACAGCCTCTCCATTCTCAAGGGCCGGTCCAAAATACTCCTCCATCTGTGTTTGCCACCAGCCTGCCTCTCCTTGATCATCTTTACCGCGGAGCTCTGCGCCAATCTCGACCACGTCCTTGCTGTCCTCGTCTGTGGGCAAGATTATTCCAGAAACGCGGATCAAGCAATCTTCGGCAGAGATCCATGCTTTGGTCTTGTGCTTGGTCTCCAGAGAGCTAACGAAGTCGCGAACGCAGCCATCGAACGCCGGCTGATCATTCTCCTCATAATTCTCGGTCAAGACAATGTCGTAGTCGAATTCATCAGTGGCGGCTTTCTTGCTCAGTGCTGCATCGAGGAGATACCCGAAAGTAAGACCCTCTTTTCTCTCTGCCCAGGCATCGACGCGAAGCTTGACTTGTTCCAGCGCTTTTCTGGGACCAATTTTGATGACAATGGAGATCGATGCTCTGGTACATGGCGGATTACACAAATAGCTGCGCTCCCACGACTGCACTTCACCATGCAATGATCTGCTAAGTGAGTGGGTCGATTCTGGTGTAAAGGTGACTTCCTCACCTCTGTGATGCTCAAGATCGTGTAAACGACGATAGGACCAACCAGCAGGATGATCTCTTCTCTTGAAGATGGCCCAGTTCATTTCCACCTCCTTATAACATATGTAGGCGAGACCAAGGCCAGTCACAGGCTTCTCACGCACAAGGACAAGCTGCAAACGGTGGTCGTACCTGGGTGTGCAGGGCGCGCGCCGTCGTGACGTCTGCGTTCGTGATATGCGCACTGCCCATGGGGTTCGATTGTGCCTCGCTTCAGGGACAGGCTGATTGAAGATTTGAATCTGTAGAAGAGGCGACTCTTCCACCACATCCCGGAATTTTCGGCATACCATTTGGGACTTGGCAATCGCTTTCGATGGCAGGTGCAGAAGGATGTTTTCCAACAGCTCAGTCGTGGCAAAAACAGCGTTGCGGGCCGGAATATCAGTGTTTCGAGTCCGTCTCTTCTTGTTGGCGTTGGCTAGCGCAGGTGATCGTGGGCGCTTGCCTCGAGACTGCTTTAGCTTCGCCATGTCCTGGGCTGCGACGTGAGTCGTTGTTGTGGTAAAGGTCGAGAGAGCGATCAAAGCAGGGAGGGCCTACGGATGTGTATCGGTTGCTTGCGTGGTAGCGTGGCTTGTCTGCTAACGTGGAGTCGGTCAGGCTGGAATGTTTGTTGTTTGGCTGGAGAGACTTGCTTCATACAGTGCTGTGGACGGCGTTTGACGCCGCCTTCCCTTCACCTACACGGCTTCACTAGCATGTTCTACATGCGCTCTGAGCCGCTACTAGCTTAAAGCTTGCCGAAGCTCTTGGTGGCAAGCCAGCTCCATGAGCTTCGCGTCAATGCAACCTGCATCGAAGCACAGCACGGCATCGAGCACTAAGATGTCTGCCGACAATGCAGCATCCGCGGCGGAGAAGACACATCTCGCCCACATCTCCAAGTGAGCAGTGAGTTGCACAGCAGATAGCGAATCGTGACTGACAATTCAGCAGACTCTTCCACGATCCTCAGTATTCAGACTTGACCATTGAGTGTCAAGGCCGCCGATGGAGCGCCCACAAGTCCATCATCTCTTCGCGCTGCACTTTCTTCGCCAAGGCCTGCGACGGCCGTTTCAAGGTACTCAACAGCTGGCCAGAACTTGACGAGCGAGGTACTGACATGACGAAGGAGGGCCTTGAAGGTGAGATCTCGCTGCCAGCAGACGATCCGCACGCTGTGCATGCCATGCTGTCCTTCATCTACCAGTGCGACTACGACGACGCTGGTCCGGATATGGAATGCGATGCAGGCATGCCACCGATCTTACTGAACGTCGGTGTGGCTGTCATCGCCCATAAGTACGATCTTCCAGAACTCTCGTCACTGGCATTGAGAAAGTTCACGAATCGAGCTCAGACCGAGTGGCGCTCTCAAAAATTCGCAAGGGCTGTGCGTGACATTTACAACATGGAACAGGGCATCGACACGGCATTTCGCCAGTGCGTGCTCAAGGTCTGCGCCGCTAATGCCCAAGACATATTCTCGGGCAGCAGCGATGGCGGCGAGGACGGCAACCTCTTAGACACGATGAGGAACATCCCTGATTTGGGTGTTGATCTTGCGCAAGACCTCCTACACAGACGGAATCGTATATCGATCGTCCTCAATCCCAACGAGAAGCGATACAAATGTCGAAATTGCCCATACAGCTTCATAATGCAAGACCCCTCGAGTGGGCTTACCCCAATCCTCCTCTATTGCCCATACTGTGGCGTCGCGGACCGTTGGAGCATTTGGCGGGACAATAGAGAGATGAAAGGATGAATGGCGACATGCTTAATGGCCATGCATTCGATGTTACATTACCGCTCCGGGTTGAGGGCGCAAATGCAAGAGCTTAGAAGTGAGCCATCGACTGCGCCGGAACGCTTGGGCACTGGCGATCGCCGCTGCGATATTGGCACCGGCTTAGAATTTCTGCTACCGAACACGAAGAGTCGCTCGTTCACGGGCACCCGGCAGGGCTTGGAGGACGTGGCAGTGTGCTTGATCATCTGGTTTTGCCTGCATGAAGGCAGATGTTAGGATAGCCATCTCGATGCATTAAGGCAGTTTCCTCGTTTCAGCCGCAGCAGAACCGCCTCGCGTAGCACAAAAGAGAATCGCTGTCCAGACCCAGAGCCAGCATATTCGTGGCCTTGATTGATGTGAACCTTATACATGTGAGCAGCGCTTCGTCTGTTCATTTCATGGCCATCATAATCCACTGCTCTAATTCGCTAATGCTTGCCACGTGAGCCTTGGTTGACAAGCTTTTTCTTGAGATGTTTGGGCATCTTCTCCTTCCTCTTCTCGCGCTTCTCCTCCTTCACAGCCTGCTTGTGTGCTTTCTTTTCTTCCTTATCTTCGAACCGCTTTCCCCTAGGTTTCTTGTCCTCGAAAGTCCGCTCTCCACCGTCACTTTCTTCTGCGCTCGACTCGTCACTGTCCACGTCGTCCCCATTAGCATCGTCCTCGATATTTGACTTCGATGCGCCATTCGCCAGTAGCTCTTGATAAGGCAAATCTTCTCCCTCGCCACGCTTCAGCTTCTCTCCATCACGTTCGATGTCGTACACTTCGCGTAGAGTTTGTGGGATGTACTGCTGTCTGAAGACTTCGTCCTCTTCGTCCTCCTCATCTCCAGCTTGCGCCTTTGCTTCGAGCAGCTTTTCAAGACTCTCTTTCATCTCGTCTATATCCTTACCTCCTGTGTTTCCAGTCACAAAGCCAAAGGCCACTCGTTCTGATAGTGCATCCACACCCTTGCGCTTGAAAAAGTCACTGACATTCTTGATATCCATGCGCAGGAACTCTAGCGATCGCGGGTGATCATGCTCGACGCTTTGCGATACATCAATCACGTACAACCGATCCTTGTAGTACAGAGTGTTGTACTCTGACAAGTCGGCGTGAACAAGTCGACATTGCTGGTAGATTTTTCGCATGTAGCTCATCATATCCAGGTAGATCGTGTGCCATTTTGATGCCGCATCAATTGACTCGTCGAACTTGACATCTCGTAGTCGGGGAGCGGGTAAGCCTCGAGAACTTCCGATGAAGCTCATAACCAAGACGTGTGCTTTCAGATAGACAGGTTCCGGGCAAGGAATTCCAGCAGCATGGAGAATCTTCAGATTACGGAATTCCTTCTCAGCCCAAACTTTGACCATAGCTCGATTAGAGCTCCTGTTGTAGCCCTTGTTGAACCTGTGGTCGCCAGAGACGTACTTATCTCTGTCTTTGAATACCAATATGCTGGTCTTGTATATTTTGACTGCCCTGTTCAGCTTCATTGCCGATGCCTCGTCCTCGACTTCTTCTTGCGGTATTGTTGCAGCATGGTAGACATTCGCCTCCTTGCCTGTACTCAGCACACCATTTATCTCCGAGACAATATTACGATTCAGCATCTGAAGAAGAATCATCTTCGTCCTCGGGTCGAGCACTTGTTCCGAAGTCGCGCGATCGCTCTTCTCTGCGCCTCGCTGCTGTTTGGAAGCCACTCCAGCCTCTAAATCCGTCATTCTGAGCTTCGAGGTATGCTTTGCTAAACTCTTAATCTGGTCGTCTATTGCTGCTCTGGTGTTGAGCTGTGGGTTCGTCTTTGGCTTTTGTGATTCAGGTATCGAATTGTCATTCATTTTTCTCTGTCGGTTGTATGCTTTCGTGTAGTCGCCAGGGTTTGCTGAAGATATCTCCGTCTCTGATAGTTCGTCTTCGGATGGTTCGAATAGGTCATCGTAGTCTTCATCTTGGTCGAATTCATCTAGAGCTTCTTGAGAGACGGTGTGGTCGTGTGCACTGCCTGGCATAGCTGTCCTGTCTCCCACATATCCTTGATTCTCAACGTACTGCCTGGGCGGCTGATGCGGTGCTGTAGGGTGCTCCATGGTCGTCATACGGAGACCTTTCCCGTCAAGTTGGTAGTAGAGAAGGGGGCTCAGTAGGACTCGAGATCGTCAGGCACAGAAATATTCCACAGCACTGACGCCAACAACGTGGGGACCCCTGCAGATGCATGAGATGCAAGCGCCCGCGCCCTCGAAAGCGACACCGCAGAGCCGCCCTAGAACAATCGACATTCTCTACGATGTAGCAGACATCCAGGTGCGGGAAGGCGATGAGTGTGGCCGCCGGACGAACATCGTCAATATGCGTCTTCTGCCAAGCTCGTACACTTACACTTGGGCCAAGAGCGCGACCTTTCAGCAGCAGCTCCAGAAGATATGCCTCCCACCTTGAAACATTGGCCATTCCCCACGAACAGAATGGCTTCATACACGACGGCGCAGAGGCGGACCGGCAGGCAGCAACGTCAATGGAAGGGAAGATCAGAGAGAGATTGATAGCACTCAGAGAACGCAAGAAGTTAAGAGCTGCACAGGCAGCTGTTGCCAGGGAAAGGGATCGATTTGAATCGGAAGACTCGCAAAAGGCCAAAGAAGAACTGCTGGCCTCGCAACATAGTCATCTATTGGCAATCAAAGCTCAGATGAGGGCGGCGAGGCAGACGAAACTATCGTCACCGGGCGACCCGAGGGGAGATCTGGACGAACTGTGTGAGAACCGTGAAGCAAGATTACATACTATACGCCAACTCGGCAATCCTTACCCAGATCCTCCATCAGGACGCCAGCAATTCACTAGAGGGCATCCGAGTCTGTATGAAGTACCCGAGACGCCGATCTCACATGCAGAATTTCGAGAACGACTCCAAGAGGCAACAAGAGGTAGAGGATGGAGACTCGTCCGTGCCATTCTACGAGCACGTCTGCTCGTATGTGAGACGCCTAGAGACATACTGAAAATCGTTGCTGTTGCAATGCAGACTCCACAAGTGGCACAGAACTTGCTGCACCTGAACGAGCCGATCATGAGAGCATTGTATCGCTGTCGGGCGAAAGCATCCGACCCGGAAGTGCTAAAGACTCTCAGTACAATCGTCGCGCGATTTCGCATGTCTAATCTGCATGTTAAACCAAATTTGCTTTTCATGGCGCTGAAGTTTGCCGCCAGAGCACGGATTCTTTCATCAATGCAGAAATATCTGAGATTGATACGAGAGCAAGGGCTGGGGATGACAAGCAACGTCTATCGCAGCGTCATTGCAAAGTTTAGTATTGGACACCGCGGTCTTGGTGAGATACGTAATGGCAGATGGCGGAGATCCGAGCTCCGTCAAGTGTTGCTTGGTTTCGATGATTGCAAAGATCTGCCTCCTGAAAAGCAATACCATTTCGGTTCGTTCCTGGTCCGGGACGACTGGCAGTATCTTCACGGATGGGTTGCAGTTTTGGCACGCTGTAAGGAAAGCGAAGAAGTCTGGAAGGAGTGGCTTTTGTGGAAAGAGACGGACGCTTTCAAAAAGCCGAAGTTGTTGATCATAGATGAGCGCAAGGAGATGAGAGATTCTCGCGACACGCCAATCACAAATAAGTCCCGTGGCTCATACTGGTTCCTCGAGCAGATGTGTTATGCTGGTGACATGGCAAAGGCCTGGCAGATCCTCCAAGAAGCTGGTCTAGCTTTTCGCACACTAAAACCCAGAGTAGCGGACATACTTTTGGGATCATTAGAGCATGCTTCAGTATGGAACGAAGAAGTACGATCCGCAATGTTAGCCAAGTATGATCGCGACGTGGGAAAGATTGAACAGGCGCTTGGCGTACGATGGGTTCCTGGAGCCGATGAAGGGGAAGGCCACCACGAGCTGTTCATGGACCAAGAAGCGGCACTCGAACGTCTAAGCGAACAAGACTGGAAGCTGGACGATGATTTCGGCTATCCGTTGGACACGAGTCCGATAGTTTCTAGGTCCGAACAAACCCTCCATGATGCAAAAGAGAGCTTCCATCCGAGGTGATCCATAGAATCATGACGAGCACGATTCACGAGAACTACTGATCAAACACATGCAATCGCTCGCAGATAGTAGCACATCCGAAGATCTTCTCATTTGTAGTGAAGCGCTAATGCTCATCGATGTTCAGGCAATCCTCCTCCCGTTGTCAGTTGCCAAGATACAGCTAGTCACTCCACAATGTTTCAGGATATACAAATACGCTTCAGTGACGTCCTCGACCTTGACCAGCTCTTTTGTCAGAGCCTTCCCTTCCACACAATTCGACGTACTCCTGCGGCAGTTGCTTCAGAAGTTCTGTCTTCACCGGACCTGCGGAGACGAGATTGACTCGTGCTGGCGCAAGATCGACAGCCAACCCTCTGACTAAGCCTTCGAGGATCGTGGCAGCCATTGCGGGAACCGGTCAGCCTTTTACTTGACGATGACCAGAGTTGCCGTTTGTAAAGACCAGAGACGGTAAGGTGGTGTTGTGGAGACATCTCCCTGGCTCGCGCGATAGGATGGAAGCCAGAATCGTCGATGCATAGATGCGAAGTTTCCAGGATCCGGTAATATCTTCGACAGTTGTATCTTTGAATGCTGGGGCCGGGGACGCGTCGTCGGCGGTGAAGATGATGTGAGTTAATGGCAGACTCAGAATGATTTAGAACTCTACAGGAGACTTCTACTTCTACAACTGTATGAATGAGGATATCGTGACAACGTAGCGAGTCCTATGCAGATCAGAGAGGCAGAACTGATAAACGCTCAGCCATCATCTCGTTGCTGACGAAACATAGCACAATGCTCGGACAAGGATAGTCAAATGAATCAGCACTGATCAACGATATCTATCTATGCGTCTTCCCGCTAAGCATGTGATGCCGAAAATGCCGACCAACCCTAACCCTAAAAGTCCGCATCGCGTCTTCCTCAAAGCTGGCGTTGCGACTCTCTATTGAATATAGTATCCCACATATCCGAGATGCCTGCCGCCTCATCGAAACGCATCAGAGGCCTCAAGGTCACGCGTCATTTCATCATCGGCAACGAGGCGCATTTCCTCCCGCACCCAGACTACCCCGATCCGCCCCCAGATGGACACACGAAAGGCTGGAAAGTCTACATTCGCCCACTTCCAAATGGACCCGATGTCACAACATGGCTGAAGAAGGTGCAATTCAAGCTGCATAACACGTACGCCGAACCAAGCCGCACGATCGAAGCGCCGGGCCCATTTGAGGTGAAAGAGACGGGTTACGGCGAGTTCATAGTAGAGCTACGCTTGTACTTTGCACCCGAGTCGATTGAAAAAGCGGTCTACAGAGATCACATACTAGTGCTACAGCCATATGGTAGCGAAGAACAACAAGAGCGGCAAAAGCGCGAAAACAAAATCGTTGCGGAAAAGCTTGAAACGATCGAGTTCAACGACCCTACTGCAGACTTCTTCAAATCCCTCACGGCTGAGGAGCAGTTCAACTGGCTGAAGGTCAAGAAGGGAAGAGGGAAGGGGAAGAAGCCTGACTTCGTTTTTGAGGGCGACATCGAACCCACGGCGCAATTGCCTGACAGGGCGGATACTAATGGTGGTGGACTAGGAAGTGGCGGAGCTTGGAGCGTGCAGTACGAGAATCAGCTTTGTAAGCAGCTGGAGCAGAGCAAGAAGACGTTGGATGATATGCTGAATGAGGAGAAACGTAAGGCGGAGGAGAGGAGGAAGCAGATGGAAGAGATTGGTGCCAAGTTTTCGGCCAAGTAGAGGCACTGAATGGTGAGCGCGCTGTCAAGATGGGCTTTGAAATAGCGAGGAGTTGGAGGCATGCTTTGATATTATACCCACAGAATTCATGCCCGTGTGACAGAATGGACACTGCAGGGACAATACATTGATACCATCAGCGTTTTCGCCGGCTGCTGGAGTCGGCAGCTTCCAACCTAGGCGGAGAAGTATCCGGAACTGCAGACACGACATAGTATCCGCGCCTGCACGATAATCACAGCGACAACAAGATCTTCGAGCAAATGGCATCCACACGAGATTCAGTTTGCGGGGTCTGTCTGTGGAGCGCAGGATTTGGCGCTGCCTTGGCTACACCTCTGGCTCAACCAATTGCATTACTACGCCAGAGAGAGATGAGGAAGTCATTAGCCGATACGTAATTACATATAAACCGTGGATCGCAGCGAAAATGGCGGAGTCACAAGTCGCTTTTGGAGCCATGAGGCTAACAGGGCCTTCAGCAGCTGTTCTGACAGCTTCGAACCTCCTTGATGCATCTCCCTCATCTCACTGTTCAAGCAGGCAACTCTCAGATCTTGATGTATTCGGTGCCAAGATTTTAGCCGTAGATGCCTCTCCGCTGCAAAACTATACCGCGGCCACGGATGCAGGTACCTGGTCGGGTCTCGATATTTGCAATGTCACAGTCACATACACCCACCCCGGTCGAAACGATACGGTTCATGTGGACGTCTGGCTTCCACTAGGGGACTGGAATGGCCGCTTTCAAGGCGCTGGGGGAGGCGGCTGGCGTATGGGTCCTTCAATTGACAAGCTCGCATCCGCAGTTTCCCAAGGCTTCTCAGTTGCTCGAACCGACGGGGGTCACGACCTCAATACCAGATCTGACCCTGAGTGGTGGGCATTGGACAGCCCTGGGAATGTTGATCTCAGTCTTCTGCAGAACTTTGCCTCGCTAGCGCTGAACGACCTTGCCAACATCGGCAAGCAGATCACGGCCAACTTCTATGGCACTCCCGCCAAGAAGTCCTATTGGAATGGCTGTAGCACTGGTGGAAGGCAAGGTATTATGCTTGCACAGAGATACCCTGATGCTTTCGACGGAGTACTGGCAATAGCTCCTGCCATCAACTGGGCGCATTTTCTTGTTGCAATGTACTGGCCGCAGCAAGTCATGAACCAACTGGGATATTACCCGCCGCCTTGCGTTCTCGAAGCAATCAATCAATTTGCCATCGAGGCTTGCGACACTCTTGACGGTGTGGCCGACGGTATTATCTCTGATCCCAGAGTCTGCGACTTCGATGCTACGACCGCAGTAGGGAAATCTGTTAGCTGCAATGGAACCCAAGTATCGATCAGCAAAGAAGTCGCAATCATCGCCAATGCCACATGGTCTGGTGCCCGGGATCCTTCTGGTAGATACAATTGGTACGGTCTAGCGAAGGGCACACCCTTCTACAATGCCTCCGCTACCGATGGCCTCGTCGGCACAGACTGCACTGACAGTAGCGCCTCCTCCTGCAGTGGTGCTCCATCCTCTTACTCTCGTGACTGGATCAAATACTTCATCTACAAAGATCCAAATTTCTCAGTCGAAAATATGACCGATGCCGAATTCTTCGCCACTATGCACAAATCTGTCCAAGAATACGAGAGTGTCATTAGCGCTTCAGACCCGGACCTTTCGTCTTTCAAGAAACGCGGTGGCAAGATGATCACCTGGCATGGGCTCAGTGATCAGTTGATCTTTCCGGGTGGAACTGTTGAGTATTATGAAAAGGTACGAAAGTTAGATCCGGCTGTGAAGGACTTCTATCGATTCTTTGAAGCGCCTGGTGTCGAGCATTGTTCTGGTGGGATCGGCCCTTTGCCGAGTGGTGCGCTTTCTGATCTGATAAGATGGGTTGAAGAGGAGGAAGTACCAGAGACGCTGTTGGCAGTGGATCAAAATGGGGCAGAGATGAGGCGAAGATTGTGTCTGTGGCCTAAGAAGCAGGAATATGTCGGAGGTGATCCAGATCAGGAGGAAAGCTTCACTTGCGTATAACCGACTAATAACATTTGATCCGCTCAGCCTGGTCCCGGTCCCGCTTCAGCAGCGTACGTCAAAGCGTCATGCTGAGCCTTGCGCAAACAATCATAGAACGCACTCCTAATAACTCTTCGCCGGACGCGCAAGCTTCTCTAAGTCTGCTACGCGTCGCTTGTGTCAGCTATGGCCGAAGTGTGACCGTCTCAGTGGCTGGAGCTCCGACAGAATTTCCCGATCTGGAATGACAGCTGGAGAGCACGTTTCGGCAGGCCCCCGTACTCACCGTCAATAAAGCTAGGACTGGGGAAATTAGAGCATGTTCCATGCATACCAAGCATGATCCAACGTCAGCGTCTGTCTTCCGCGTATCATCCGCTGATCTTGATGAGCTCTTACTTTTCTTCAATTCGGTCTTGGCAGCCTGGTCACACAGCCAGAGAAACATCCCACCTTGCTGCAAAGTGGCCCTGCTTTGTTGCTGGAACGCGCGTAGACCACACCTGATCGCCTCTGCTAAGGATATGATGTTCTTTCGAGAGCGCATCTCGAAACGTGCACGGAAGACTTGTCTATAGATCCTTTCCTGTTCCCTCTTGGACACAACATCGAATAGTCATTGAACATGGAGCCACACGGAAAATGATCTGGAACTTGATAATGACGGGTAGACCAGCGAAATCTGGGCATTGTGGTCGTTATAAGCAAGTCACTGGTGCAGAATGTTAGAGTCTTGGGGAATGAGAGTACAGAACAATCAAGAGATCAATGTATGGATTCAAGGAGAAGCTTGGTCAGTGCTGAGATACAGCGTCATGGGCCTTTCGACTTGGTTGACACTGCCAAGAAGTCGTTGCTCCTCATTTGTTGACAGGCGAGTGTTGACAGGCCCTTCACGAAGTTCCCGTCCACCATATCCTGGACAGATCTTGCTTTGCAACATCCCGGATCTCGCCAACTGCCGGATCAGCCAAGCCCTGGCCAGTACGAATTGGCGGAACCCTATTCTCCGGCTCACATTGCCACAGCAGCGGGAAGTGCGTTCAATCGTCACTGCTCAGCTTGTGAGTAGCAGTCCTCTCTGTGCAAAATTGAGGGACCATCGTGGAGCGCTGGAAATGGTATCAGCGGACCGTGGACGACGACTTGAGCAAGTATCGATTATACTCACCATAAGAGATGGGCTCACAGACCGCCCTTGCATCGCCATTCTTCCTCTCAGTCCGGAGCAGTACAAGACCCCAAGCGCGCCATTCGCCTGCTACGGCCTCTTATATGTTCCCTCCGGACCCTCGCAGATCGCATTGACCGCTGGTGATCGTATTTGCTGCATTTGCCCGGACAAGGCCTGTCTTCGAAGTACGAGATGCCCACCACCAGCGAGCAAGTGCAATGCTGATTGAGGTATTCGATCTCGGTGTGGCCACAACTGTATTCTCTCGCAACTGCGATGCACATGACTGTTATGAGAAAGATGTACGAGTTCCATCATGGCGTGTAAATACATGCAGAAACCCCGGAAATAGCGCTGCAGAATTTCGTGTGTCTGAGATCGTGACTCGTGAGACATGTTGCGCCGTGGCGATAGACATTCGCGGCTCGAACATTTAGGTTGCCAACGGCGTCTTCAATGGCTAAACAGTGGTTGAAAACCGCGGACGCATTCTGCATGTTGCCAAGTATTCCCACGCCTCACGATCGGCAATGCAACAAGGCTGCTTGTTGACAGGCAAGCTTCAAAAGCTCTCCACCCACGTGTGGAAGGCTAGGATGATGTGGGCGCTATATATAGTCCAAGCTTCATACGTCTCTGGCGGACACATAGCGGCAGTCCGACTCATTGGAGGAAAATGAGAAGTACTCTGCTGTGCTTTGTTAATGAGTTGGGCCTGATGCAGTATAACTTCCGTTCCCAAAGTATGTCCGTGATCCTTCTCTAATCATTTCTGCCGAAGCCCATATATGCAGCACAGGCTTTCTGTTTGTGGGCGATGTGCACCCCGATAGCTAGGTCGTTGTGAAGATGTACTCGTCATAGCTCTGGGTCTGGTACTCATAGATAGGCCGACTGCTGATCAGCATCACCCAGCTTCCAAGTTCCAACTGATGCCAGGCATCGCAAGCCATTTCTCACATGAGCGTGTCGACTCATCTGGGTTGTGTGCGCAACTTGGTTGGCATGATGCCGATGCTCTTCAGCCATCTCAGGTCTTCCGCTAGCTTGGAGCTCGGCTTCCTCCTCAGCGTCGCTTTCCTGGTATCGCTAGCAGAGAACATTACCATCGACTTCTGGTTGTAAGTGCTATCCTCTATGAAACGCCTTGAGATGCTCATAGCGAGTATAGTCCAGAGGTCATCGATATCGAGAAAGAGCCCATGGTAGATCTTCCTTTGCGACTCGTTCCCACACAAATGTTGGCGACTTTGTGAGCTGGCGTTGCCAGCTGCCAGTCGTTTCCGCGACGATGGAGACTTGCACACTTTTTCGAATACCGCCATCTTGTCCATCACTGTCGTTGGCGTTGCCGCTCTGCAAAGGATCAGCAATTCATAATGTGATACTTCTGGAATCGCGCATCACCCACACTACGCCCAGCGTTCAATTCCGTCACCCACTTGTCCACCCAACGCTCTCTCTTCCTACCTAGAGAGACATAAGATGCGACCCGCGCGAAAGAGGGACAGCACATCGAAGAACACAAAAGCTCAATGCAAGTCAAGGCTTGACCCATGACTCCGCCGCCCGTTGACGACGACTTCATCCATCGCCTGCTCGAAAGTCATGAACGATTTTCTTTCCATCGTCGACGGCGATGGCAACGTCATGACCCTGTGCGAAGTCAGGAGTTCGACCACACTCAAAGGAAAGGATGGTCTTACCACCTCACAATAGCATCAGCACGCTCCGAATCAGCACTTGATCTCGGAGTCACCTCTTTGCTCTCTCCACTGGTTAAGTCATTCTGCTCCGCACTAGGGTCTGGATTGAACCTCGCGGTGGTGGTGAGATGGAGCTGTCCGGGTTCCAATTCTCTGGCATAGCATTCGATGCAGCGGCCAGGAGGTTGAGTAATTTTCATTCCTGTTCAAAGTGAGCAGAGGCTGCTTTTACCAATGCCAATAATTCGCCGACTCCAGTATATATTTGAGTTCAACGTACCTCTTGGCTCGCAGCAATAATGTGCGTCAACATCCCGCAAGCAGACGTTTGGCGTCGATACTACGTGGCCGCACGAGTAAGAGACGACATAAGTTCCGTAGCACATTGATCAATTGATGTTCATCAACATGAAGATTGGTTGCTCAAAAGTCACCAGATTGTCGGCCATTAGTATGTATCTCCGCCATTGAGGTAGACGGCTGAACGATGAGGAGGGGTGAAACTGAATCAGAAAGAGGCGCAGAAAAGCAAGACCGACGATGTCAAAATGTAAGCAGCCGGCGAGGTCGTACTGACGGAACGTTCCATCGTGAGACTCTGCCAATTGTTACTTTACGAATGCTGATAGCCGCATTGGTTGGTCCAAATTTTCACAAGTCCTCTGGTCCATGAGCCTCCTCTATTCCATTATCCGCAAGCAACGAGATCCCTGCATATCAAGTCAGGTTCGCCTGCTCACGGCTCAGTAGCGGTGAACAGCCAACAACCAGATGTATTTCCTTCGTAAAGCGCGCAAAAAATGTGTCGTGAGGTCACTGGCGCACACCGCCTCAAACGCGGCAGTCATTCCGGTTTGTTGATCACGGTAGCGTCTTAACTTCAGTAATGAAGCCGGCCTTTTGCAGGCGCTCCAGATACGGTTGGCCTAGGGTGGCGGGAGTGACGACACCTCCACCTAGCTCGTGCGCGAATGTCTTGTCGCGTGAGAGTGTTATCGCTGCTTCGGCAGCCAGCACTCCTGTGAAATTATACATACTCCCGTTCCAGCGGAAGCGCCCGAAAGCTCGTTTCGGGTCTGCAGGATCCGAGACGTCGGCATTGGCGATGGCGCGCCATTCGCAATGCTCTTTGCTGGCTTGTCTGGCACGCATTAATTTTTGGCCGATTTTCGAGATGCATTTTGACTTACTCTCTTGAAACACCTTCGCCAGGCTGGTAAACAAATTTCTTCAGTAGCCAACGCACAGGCGGGAACATCAATGCAGCGAAGCCGAATGTGAGCCCAAGATGGACCAGGAAAGCGTGTATTGAGCTTTTGGCTTTCATGTATCCGGTGACCCTGAAATTGCTGCCGTAGAATTTCCCGGCATTGTAAAGACTCCAAGAGCGGTTGATGATTGGGGTATCAGTTGGTCCTTGGAAACTGTCTGTGAGAAGGCCCAGGTCGGGATCATGACGAATTCCAGTAAGCTTCTCGCTCAGAGGCCGTCCAGGTGCTTTCACAGAAGGCGTGATGGTGGACAGCGAATATGGAGACATTGCCTTGGCCACCTGGCCAATACTGTATGTGTCGAACACTGTGAGGATAGTGTCTAGAGTTCCGCCGCTTGGAGCAGAGTTAAGATCCCACAAGATATATAGCAATTCGCTCAAGCCGGTATTGAGAGTCTTTCGTACGTGGGTAGCCAGAAGCCACACAGTCAAATCGGCTGGGGCACTTTCGATCCCACACTGCGGAATCATAATAGCACCGGTCCTTTTGGCCACAGCATCGTACTTCTGGATCATATCATATACCCACTGGCACATTATTAGCAGATGCTTCAGATCAGAAATGGCTCCCAGCTCAGAGCGCTTACAGGAACTTCTCCAGTGACATCTAGATAGTGTGTACCAGCCTCAGCACAAGCCTCGAAGACCTCGGAGCCTGGGATTTCTTAACAACGAAAACCAATGACAACTGATGAATGAGAAGCATTACCATATTTGTGATATGGACCAACAGTAGTGACCAGGACCTTGGTCTGCTTCGCAAGCTGTAGGATCTCCGCTTTGGTGTTCTGAGCGACTTCAATGGCAGGACGCAGCCGGTCTTTGTTGAGCGAATAGATATCGTCCGCAACAGCATTCAGTTTGCTTTCCGAACGACCCGCGATGGCCCATCGGAAGTCTGTTGGGAAATGCGTGGCAATATGCTCGGCCGCGTATTTTCCTGTGTAGCCCGTAGCACCGTATAGCACGCATTCATACTTTCGCTCGGCCGCAGACATGTTGATGAGTTGCGCAAGTGAAGACAGAGAGAGTGCGAGAGTATAAACGCTCGCGTTGGAAGACGCGATAGTTGTGCCAAGGATAGTTGTGCCAAGGATAGTTGTGCCAAGGATAGTTATGCCTAGGCAATTCGTTTGCCGGCGCATCTGCCATTCTGAGTGCTCAGCACTGCCGTGCTTAAGTTACTTGTGGCTTGTATGTACTGTGAATTCAAAGTTGCTTGTTATTACGGCCTCTTCCGTCGGCAAAAGGTCCGGTCTGTATGATGAGAACAGGCAGCTCCAATGACTTCAGATGCCCATCACCGAAGCTCGACGTCGCTTTTGCGACTCATACCATGCTTCCACGTGATAGATAACGTTCATCTCGCAGCCAAGGAGCTGACATTCATAGTGAGAAAATAATGCATTATTGGTGACCTGCGCAATGTGAAGCCATAGTTGCGCGACTGCGCGATCTTCGGATAGTTCTAGCAAAAGCAGTTTGTCACGTGATGAATGCCAAGCAGCGCTAGTCAATTTCGCCCACCGTCGACTTTGAAGCACAGCATAGCGACTCCAGCAGATTACTTCTTGCAGCGCACCCAGCGAATTCCGCCAATACCACACAACCGCCAAAATGACGAAGCGCACAAAGAAGGTCGGCATCACCGGTAAATACGGTACCCGGTACGCACTCCCACGAATCATCCTTCTCCCTCTGCGCGCCCGAAGAAGATAGAGGACGAGGTATCGCGGTGTGCTTGGGCAGCAGGGAGCAGGATATGATGGCGGACGGTCACGCAAGAGGCAAATTGGGACTATTGCTGACAACTACGCACAGTTACGGTGCTTCCCTCCGTAAGCAGGTCAAGAAGATCGAAATCAGCCAGCACGCCAGATACACCTGCACTTTCTGCGGAAAGGTCACTGTCAAGCGCCAAGCAACTGGCATCTGGAACTGCCGCGCCTGTGGGAAGACTATTGCTGGAGGAGCATACACAGTATCGTACGTAGAGGGAAAGTACGCGTACGATGGACAAGACGCTGACTGAAACGCAACACTAGGACACCTGCTGCTGCTGCGACCCGCTCGACCATCCGTCGTCTGCGTGAGATCGCCGAGGTTTAAGATGTTTGACACAGTGCATTGGGAGGTTCTACAATGGAGTTATTACATGGGCTGAAATGCTCGTCGCCATGGACAGGACGAGCCACGCTTTGCTAGGAACTCAAGGAATGAAACTCTCTGAAACGACCAAATCCTCTCACCATCCCTTTTTCTCGACCGGCGAACGCCAACGCCTCTCACGTCGTCGTCGTCACATCCGGACTTTCATTTCTCTTGTCTCTTTGTACTTCCTCCCACATTCTCCGAGCGCAGGTCGACCCGAACCAACCGATGAGCCGCGGCGCACGTGATCGTGATCATGGTCAGTTTGCCCAAGTTTGGGATACTTACGAAGCGTCATTATCGACTCACCCAGTTGCACGAATTACCACGAGCATATGGTCATTCACATTCCTGTCTGACTTAGCTTTCCGATCACCAGGCAGAGTTCGAAACGAGGCAGCAGATGACACAACCCTGGCTCAAAGCTGATTCGCCTACCGCTTACTTACTAGCGTCCGACCTCCCGCACCTGTGCTATAACTTAGCTCGCGGGCTTGCTTCTCTATCCTACACCTCCAGATCCTCGTGACTTCAATACACATGTCCGCTCTTCCATACACACCTCGCACGAACATATTGTCAATACTCAAGCATGGCAGAAACATGCATTGTCTGCCTCGGTGACCTTCGCACCACATACGACGAAGATCCTCCACCACAGGCGGGAACCGCTGCGCCAAGTGCTGATGCCAGCAAGGGCGCTAACGCCAAGACTACCATAATGTCCAATGCCAAAAGGTACCACCCTACGATCCTCTGAACGAACGCTGCCGCCGCTATGTTGCGAGCGTGCACGCTATTGGGAGCCTTCGTGGCCATCCTATACCGCTAAATCTCGAAACCTGACCTCCACTCTTGGACGGCTTGAAGATCGATACGATATTCGCCGGATGAGCTTGGAAGGTGAGGTCATTCCTAGCTTTGCATGCAAAGTTGCTGGACGCCTTCAGTAAGCGGATTCAATTGATCAAAGCTAACTCGATCGTACTTAGTATCGATGCCGACGACGAAGCAATAGCACATCTACTACCATGCAAGCATGACCTGCACAACTCATGTCTTAGGCCATGGGTTGAGCGAGCCAACAGCTGTCCGATATGCCGCACAACTTTCAACGTGGTCGAAATCAGTCGCACGATCGGCGGAACTGTGGTTGACAGCTACCCCGTCCAGGACAAAACGCAAGAGGCGGAGATCGATGCCAGTATGGTGGTGGAGGATGAACTATTTGCAGTCGAAGCATGGGAACCTTGCATCGTGTGTGGTGTGTCCGACGACTATGGCGCCATGTATTGCGACGGTTGCGACCGGACTGTACATGTATTCTGTGCAGGCTTCGACGACGCTCCTGATGTGTGGTACTGTGAAACATGTCTGGTAGATTTGGAGAATGATGCAGATCTGCCAGGTCTTGCATCGGCTGCTCGTGGTCGACGTCGAAGACAGCGCGGCGCACATAATAACGGTAACGGCAACGGCAACCGCGGCGCTCCTCGTCGACGCCGCAACAACGACGCAATCTGGGCTCGAGTATGGCAGGAAGTTTCACGCCGGCTTGACCTTGATCTCGACTTTCCTTTTGACGAGGAGGTAGAGGATCCTCGACGTACTGCCGAGAACCGGCGCGAATTCCGACGATGGCAAGAACGCTTCGAGGTTGCCAGCCGAGTGGGAGCAACGAACAGACTTCGAGGTATCGCCCAAGCCAGCCTGAACAGTAGTCATGTTCCACCGCAGCGCAATCCCGAATCTCAAGAAGAGATCCGCGCTTGGAATGCGTTCGATAAGGCACGAGATTCGCAAGATGCGCCGGTGAACCTCAGGCGTCGGAAGCGCCGCGCCACACAATCTCCTGCATCACCATCAGAACCCGAGCAACAGGCAGAACAACCTCAGCTTAAGCGGCCCAGATTAAAGCGACCACCAGCTGACAACCAAGCGGAGTCGTCCAACGCAGCGGCCAGAAGGAACGCGGAAGAACCGACGTTTCTCTCCTCGCTCCTCCGCGAAGTCGAAAATAAGCCAATGTCGGCATCTTCTCCCGCAACCTCGGATCACATCTATGAACAGTTTTCACCAGCACGCTCGCCAGAATCATCAGAGCCTGGAACGCCCAAAGCTGTCACGCCGCCACCACATCGACCTCTATCGCCGCCGCTATCCTCAGCTGTAGTTCCAGCACCGTCATCTATTGCGGCCACTTTCTCACCCTTCTCACCGACCACGACGCGTGACGATGTTGTTCGATCTCGTGGTCGTCGACGTCGGGAATTGGATGAGCGCGAAGGCAGAGACGATGATTCGGACCACCAACGTGCATCATCGCATTCTCCTTCGCGGGGTCTTTCCTACCCGGCTAAGCAAGAAATCCAGCGGATGGTGAAGCTTGCCTTAGGCAGTCGATACCGTGATAATCAGATCACCAAAGATCAATACACTGATATCAACCGAGACGTCTCGAGAAAGTTATATGAACTGATTCCGAGCGCAACATCACTTGCAGATCAGGGAGAAAGAGAGAGGCTACAGAGCGTAGCAAACGACGAGGTGCAGAAAGCAGTGACTGCGCTCTCGGCGGCCAGTCCGGCGCCTGAAGAAACGCCGCCGGGATAGAAACCACAGTCATTGGTTTGAGCTCGGAGTTAAATGGGGATGACTGCGAATAGATACCCTCTTACGACAGCGATGAAGCGACGGATTTTGCATTTCTGTAAATACCCTCAGCATGAGACACGAAGAAACATATTGCTGGGTCTGTCCATAGCGGCGACCAGCTCGCATTGCTGCTTGTCATTCTCATGCCATGGCGAGACTAACGGTGTGCCTATCAGTCCAGCTTCGGGTAATTCGGATCACTGCGCGGAGTAGATCCGGCATTCGGCAGACTAGTTCTACCACCTCTCGCCGGACTTCTGGTCTCTGCCATTCAACTTATTAAAGCTCCATTATTTCTCCAGAACACGATCCGCGGTTGTTACGCACACTGCACAATGGCTTCGAAAGCGCATGTTGTAGTGATTGGAGCTGGAGTGATCGGTCTGACGAACGCCGTGTTCCTCGCCGAGGCAGGCTACATCGTGACCATCATCGCAGCACACGTCCCCGGAGACGAAAGCATAGAATACACCTCCCCCTTCGCCGGCGCCCACTTCAGAACCCACGCCCCAGCCTCCCAACCCGAACTCTGCGACTGGGACATCCAAACTTTCAAATTCTGGGAAACCCTCCTCCTCCAAGAACCCCCAGAGACATGCGGGATCAAAATGCAAATTTCAAATCACTTCTGGGATACCACCGCGATCCACGAATCCCTCTGGTGGGCTCCGCACGTCCAAGATTTCGCCCAAATCCTTGAATTCCAGGATCCCGTTCGGAGCATTAATCTTTCTTCTCCGGCGCATATGCAGGTGAAGTGGGCTGCGACTTCTCGGGCGCCTTCTCTCGATCCGAATCGTTACCTCGTCTACCTCCACGAACGAGCGCGACGATCCGGGGCCATTTTCTTCCAATCGCGGCTTCCGATGGATGGAGGGTTTGCGAAGGCTTTGGAGGCTGCGGGAGGGATTGCGAGAGTGGTGAGACCTCAGACGTCAGGGCCTGAGGTTTTTGTGAATTGTACGGGACTCGGGGCGGGGAGGATTTGTGGTGATGATGGTATGTTTCCGATTCGAGGACAGACGGTACTGGTCAAGGGTGAGGCGCAGGCTACGAGGACGAGGTATCATGGTGGGGCTATTGGAGAGGGGGAGACGAGTTATTGTATTCCTAGACCGGGATCGGGGACGACGATTCTTGGGGGGACGAAGGAGAAAGGGGAGTGGAGTGAGGTGCCGAGTGAGGAGACTAAAAAGACGATACTGGAGAGATGTAGTTGGATGGTTCCTGAGCTTCTCACGGCGGAGGATGGCGGCTTTGAGGTTATCAGTACCCAGTGTGGTCTGAGACCTGGAAGGGAAGGTGGACCTAGAGTGGAAAGTGAGGTTATTGGGTCAAGAAAGGTTGTGCATGCTTATGGGCATGCTGGTGGTGGATATCAGTCGTCAATTGGAAGTACGAGGAAGGTCATGAAGTTGGTGGAGGAGATCTTGAGCAACGATGCTGCTGCAAGGCCAAGGCTATGAAAGTTATGATTGACCTCCTCGATCGATGTTGGGACTGCATTGAACAGTGACCACGCCCTGCATTCATCATGCTTTCATGCCACTGGTAGCGCCAAGAGCTGCTTGTAGAGCTCTGCAGGGATTGTGACGTTCTGAGAGATTATGCCTTCGAGTCCGTTCGAGGTGGCAACGTCTGGGTTGGGGTAGTAGAATGAGGCAATGGCGATGATGATGTAGACAATCTGCCAAGTGTTAGCCGTCCTTCTTCGGCACTGAATCATAACTTCTAGACTTACCACCAGCAGTGCGCCCTCGAGCCAATTGGACTCCTGATCTCGAAGAAAGTTGCCAACAACCAAGATTGAGAGGACGAGCAGGCCGATCATGAAAATTTCGAAGTTGAGGTCCATCTGGAAGGGTGCGTCAGTACTACTTACTTGTAGGCTCGTGGAACATAGTTGCAACTCACTGGTTTGCCCAGAGCCCAGCCGACCAGCACCACAAGCGGAGCGTTGAAGAGCGCTGTTTGAATCGAAGGACCGATGCAATGGTACAGCGCAACATTGATGACTCCATCCCAAGCCTCGTCAATAGCTGTCAGATGCTCTGCCGCCTTCTCGACAAGCGGCAGCAGGATCAAGCCGAGAAACTGATCGGGAACACCGCTGTCAACGACGTGCTCAATTTGTTCGACCAGAATGACGAGCAACAATGCCACGAAGACGATCGAGACAATGATTGCGACCAAAGTCTCGGTGAGCGTCAATTTCGGCTTGGCCATATCGTCGGCTCGATCAGCATCCCGATGCTCGTCCATCTCAATGACTTCGTCGAAGATCGAATGCGCCGAAGTGCAGCTATAGATGACGTAAAGGACATAAGCCACGATCAAAGCAATCGATGTTGCCTGACTGATCCTCAGGATATCTTGTTGTAGCTGACTCTTCGTGAAATGTTCGTGGAGCACCGAGATGGTCTCACTCTTCAAAGCGGAATAGAAAGCGCTCGGAATGAGCAGTCCGAAAGCCGCAACCAAAAGCAACCCGCTTCCCACTTCAGATACAACAGCATGGAATTTCTGATTCTCCCCGTGTTTCCGGATGCCAGCAGCGAAGAAGCACAGCCCCAGACAGAGCAAAAGGTTCGTCAAGATCGATCCGAGAATGGCAGCCTGAATGATCGGGATCAAATTCCCTTCATCCCCATTTCCCTCACCTTCTCCATCATCAGGCTTGTGCTTGACAATCAGCACAATGAAAAGGATAATCTCAACAATCGAGCCAAAAGTCGTCTCAATCAAGATACCAGCAACTTTCGGCATTTTGCGAGCAAATTCTTGACCCGCGAAACCGAGGAGGTTGGCTGCCGGGACCATACCGATATATGCCGTTGCGAAGATCCAGAGTGGTGCATTGGTGGTGAAGTGCAAGACTATGGCGACTATGACGAAGGGCCAGAGTGCGTTGACCGCCATTGAGACATGACTGGAGGAGCGGGCGACGATTTTGAAGAATGGAGAGAGTTGGAAGCCACTGCGGCCGCTCTCGCCTTCGTGAGCTGTGGAATGAATGTCAATGGAAGACGTCTTGGTCGTGGCATTGGGAAAGCGTGCCTATTCCATCCGCGAACGTGTGAGGGTTGTGATGATTATGAGATGACAGCAAAGGTGCTGACTCGCCGTCGCCGTGAGATGGCATGTCGAGCGTGATCTGGGGTCAATTTCTCGGTGTTGGTGGGAAAGAAAGTCGTTGATCCAGGAGTGGCGGTGGAAGTGAGATGCGGTGGTGCCGCTCTTGGCAGGCGTCTCTCCCTTCTTGGCATCTTGGCCGCAGCAATACATTTGTTAACAACATGTTTCGAAAGCACGGTAGTTCTATATGGCTCGATGGCTTGGCATGCTAGCACCGCTTCTTGGCTCTGGACTTGTTTGGACGGCATCTCTACAACATATGTTACATTGCTGAATATCTATATCTTCGTGTAGTCGCAATCGCCATCATATACCTCTCGCACTTAAACTAGTATGTCTGACAACGCACTCCCATCTGAATACGTTTCCTTCCTCGTCACCTGTATATACTTCCCTTGCTGCCGGCAGTACCGCGGTAACTGGCAAGGCCCTTCCACTTCCGTCCCTGTGCTCGTTGTGGTGTAGTCTCTTCACAAGTTGCAGATACCAACTTCCGTCGCTCAGGTTTGTGAGAGCCCAGACATTGGCTACACCATGCGCGTGACCCGTCAGAATCAGTTCTCGTTCCAAGTATTCACTGCCAGCACCTTCATAGAACGCACAGCACAGTATCTCCTCCTCCTCGCGATCGCATAACTTCTGCTCGACCAGAAGATGGCCATTGAGGGTGTACAGCAAGATGTTGGCTCCGCGGCATAGTATAATGTGACCAGAAACATTGCTGAGCCGCGCTGCTTGTACTGGCGGACGACCAGCGGGAACGAGAACCCGAACGCAATCGAATCGATTGAGCCCCCACAGAATGACTTGCCCGTCAGCCGAAGCAGAGAGGAGCGTGCTGAAGACACGACTTGCTGCAAGGACAGCAACCGCGGTACGATGTCCGAACAGATACGTTTTGGGGGTGATCTCGACAAGATCCCTGCTAGGCGTCACCTTCCAGAGTCCGATCGTGCAGTCCTGCCCACCCGTGACGAGAGTCTTGCTGTCAGCGAAGGTAGCAGCCGTGATTGGTCCTACATGTGTGTTTTCGTACAGCCCCAGGGCCCGCTTGCTATGCGAAGAAAAGAACCGTAAGCTGTGATCCGAGAAGCCCCATCGAAGAATGCGAGTGCAGTCTGGAAGCACGTTCAACGTGCCTGGTCCACTAGCTAGAAGTCTCCCTTGCCATGGAGCAACAGTGAAGTCGTAAACCTTCTCGCTAATGGTCATCTCTGCATCAGGCAAGCGGACAAGCGATTCGGCCAGCGTGTCTAATTTTGGTTCGGCCTGTCTCTCAAGCTCACGGTAAGCGTGAGGCTTCTGAAAGACTTGATGAGGTGTCTGTCCAAAGGAGTGAATGATGCCAATGGTCGCAATGTGCTCCACTTTGTTTTCAATCTTGTCCAGGTCTTTCGCTCCCGCGTAGGACAGGTGATTGAAGACATTAGTAGCTTCAACTGCCGCCTCTCCTCGTTGTTTATATCCGAAAATCAGATCTATCCAGTCGGGAAGGCGCCGACTAACGTATGGACTCTCTAAGGCTTCTCGATGCTTTTGGATGAAAACTTGAGGATCACCTTTTGCCCACTTTGGAAGCTTAACATCGCTCACTAACTCGCCTGTTACTTGCTTTGTGCCAAAGTCGTATTTGTTGATGTTGCTGAGAAACTCCGGCAGATAGAAGAACTCTGGCGTAAGTTCTCGGACATCACTCATGGTCTCCTTGGAAGCAGAGAGCCAAGCTCTCTCGATCGAATCGAAAAGCCTGTCTGCGTGATCGAATGCCCCGCCCTGAAGAAGCAGGTATGATTGCACGAAAGGTTGTAGTCGGATGAGATACGAGCTGACGATCATAGCCGAGGAGTAGTGGGTGCCGTAATGAAAAGGTGGTGCGTTGTCGTCTCCCATCTCGGCGAATTGCTTGAAGCGATCCTTGAACTCGGCTTCTCGTGCAGACGTTTGACATCCCATTGGCTTGGAGAAGTCTCTGAATGTCTTCGGATTTTCTAGATTCAGCTCCTCGCTAGTGTAATCTGCGAGCACCCACGGAAAGACAGGGTACTGCGTAAGATCATTGAACGTGCGGCCAGCCATTGTATTGACCAGCATGAGGTATTGAAAATTCGACATTTCACCTCGTTGCCATTTCTTCGTCGCCGTGTGGGTAGGTCCGTGGTTGAAGAGGCTGCCGAACTTTGAGCCGAGATTCTTTGGAACCTCGTCTGGATTGCGAAGCGTGTCTAAACGCCATGCGTCGTCACTTGCAACATTCGAGGTGCTGTGAACTTGCGGCGCTCTGCCAACAATCGCACTATGCAAATCGTCTCGCACCTTGGACGACATGCAGGTGATGAGGTAGCTGCGGCCATCTGTGAAGAACACCTCGATAGCAACATCCCGTAATAGGAACCGTCGCTTCGAAACGCTGAGAACCTCCAACCAAGTCCAGTGTCGTGTCTCCTGGTCACCTATACTATGCTTGGTTCGTGTGGCGCCAACGTCTTTGCCAGAAATAAGCTGCACATACGGGTCTCGCTCATCTTCTGGCGCTTGCGAGACACTGACGATTTCGCCGTCTGATCGCTGGAAGAAGTTGTCCTGCATGTACAGACATTTTTGCCCAACAACAAGAAGACCCTCGCATGCCTCGAGACCGATGATTCTTGAGATGTTGTAAAGTTGCTGCACCATGTCTCCACGTTGCAGACTCGTCATGACCTTGCGGTTCTTGTCTTCGAGCACTCCATCTTCATCCACCTGCGGGTCGTCAACCATTTCAAATCCACCCTCGAGAAGTTGTGAATTGGACACAGAGTCGCTTCTCCCCCGACCGACTTCTGTAGCTTCGCCTGTCCCGTCCAATGTCATGAGGGCCGGGGAGCCAGGTGTTGGTGGTATTGCGCCCATGTCATCAGACACAACCCGAGGGACAGAAGTGTTGACTGCCAGCTTCGTATCTTTCTGTGTCCTTTGAGAAGCTTTTCTTTTGGGCATGTAATTTGCCTCTTTCAACTCGGTGGTGTCCGGCACCAAGCGCATTCGCATACGGTTGACTGCTTCTGTCTCATCCAATTGCCATTTGGCCACGAAATCAGGAACGAGGCCACAAGGCTGTCGTATCTGCTTATCGACCTTGGCAAGCGCGATGTACAGATTGTTCACGACTTCTTGATGATCTTGCTGTGCGCGTTGCAGCTTCACCCGTTCTTGTGCGTGAACGTTGGATCGCCAGTGATTTGTGGAGATCTCGTATCGATGGATGAAGTCGTCCGCTGTGGACTCCTCCGTCTGCCATTGTCGAAGCTTCTCCTTCCGCTTGCTCAAACGAGTTTTGGCAGTCTCATCGGAGCTGCGGTTTTCGTTCTGCACAAAGTCTTCCCACGGCTTGCTAAGCGAAGTATGAAAGACAGTGTCCAGAATACCCCGGTTCCCGTCCACCCAGGCTAAGAAGTCATCGTCGTCCATTCCGATCAACTTCATGAAGCCGGTCGAGAGATGGCGTTGATCAGGGCCCATCGTATTTGTGAGTATGGTTGCTGTCTCCGTCGGCTTTTGAACCAAGACCATGCGCCAGAGGCGAGCAGCAGCAAGCCTCACGGACTGCACGCCAGAACATAGCTTGTGGTAGAGCAGGTAACAGATGAGCTTGATGAATAGCGTTTCCTGGTTCTCTGGAGAGAACAAGATGGTCTGCCAGTACGTCATCTTATTGAGGAAGTTGCCGACATCTGCCTCAGCGGCATCTTCATTCAACTCGGCCAGCCGCCAAAGCGTAGCTTTCAAGAAGACCACGCGAATTGAATTTGTTGACTGGCTACAAAGCCGAACTGCCTTCAAATTGGCAATCTCAGGTTGCTGCAGATGATCTAAAATTTCGCCGGTGAAGTCGAGAAGCGGTTGCGCACCATCAATGAACCAGCCTTCTGAAACGGCCTCGGCCATATGTTGGGCATAACGAGCAAGGTTAGTCAAGACTCTGGTTTCCACCAGGAATTGCTGGTTCAGGCGAAGGTGTGCACCAAGCTGGGCCAACGCATTGACCAGCACATACGACTCAAAGTATGCTTGATGCTCCTTGAAGCCTGGAGGCACTTTCAGAAAAAGTCCGATACCACTGAACTTGTCCTTGTAGCATATTTGGTCAATAAACAATGAGATGCAGAGCTCAAGCAGGCTCTCAACCAGAGAATTGGCAATGTTGATCTTCACTGGCTCCTTTGCTTCGGGGGCCATTGGTGCTTTGAACTGAGCTGGTGTGGCACTTAGGCGATCATTGACGAGGATGAATGACGAGATACGCTTGGGAGCCGCAACTCGATTCGCAGTCATAGGGGATGGGGTGCGATTGCCCGACTTGCCGCTGTTCAGGTCAAGACTGCGAATTGATGGCGGTCGTTCATCGAGGGAGTTTGAATGAGGTCGCATCTTGACGACTTCGCCGTTGAATGACAATGCTTCCGTCTGCAGCTCAGTCTCAGCAGACAGCCGGTCAGTGCCAGCGAGAAGTGGATACAGGACGAAAAGCAGCTCCTGCAGGTATCGGGAGTTGACGGCGAAATCTCGAAATGCAACACTTCGGTCATATAACTCGCCGAGAAATTGTATCACGTTTTTGAGAGTTCTCGTTTCTGCCTCAGCGGGAGGATCGTCACCAGCGACTTTGCGTAGCCCTGCCTCCAGCATCGAGAAGATGGCGGGTAGGGTCTCAGGATTCTGTATGCGTAGCGAATCGTTCACCCCAAGCATCTCAACCAAGTGGAATGCGCTGAATTCTTGATCAAGCCAAATCGAAGGAAAGTTGCGGCCGAAGAAAATAGCGAAAGTCATTGTCCAGACTGCAGGAGACTTCCAGAATGGCTTCAATCGATGCTTGAGCGTAATGAAACCACCGTTTTTGTCCATGAATGGCGCCTTGAATTCAGGCCCGAGCGAATTTATTGCCTTGGAGATGATGCCTAGCGTGAGCTCCACGACGCGAGCATCACTTTCAGCAAGGAGATGCAGAAGCCATCTTGGCGAGACAGCCTTAGCGAAACGTCGAATCGCGATAGATCTATCGTCCTCGACCGTCTCAGCTAACAGCTTCAGTACCATAAGTGCAAGTTCGAATCGTGGAAGGCCCGGAATAGGTGTTTGTCCCCCTCCGCCAGGCGTTGACGGTCTCGAGTTGCCTTGGCTCCTAGGCCATGAACCGACCTTTTGGCGTAGCGCAACAGTATTCGCAAAAGGAGTAAAGCTGCGTGTTGTCGTAGTCGGCATTGCCCTGGCATCATGTAGGCCCCAGGCCACATACATGGCGAGGTCCTTGTACGAGTGGCTTGATGCGTTGCTGTCCACTAGAGCTCTCAGAGATTCGATCATCATGCCAGCAGCTTCCTCGCTGACATCCTCAGACTTCAATGCTTCGATGAGTCTTTTCGTCACCCTCATTCGTGAAAGGCGCCTCAGATTGAATGCTGCGTTGCGGTTACCGGACACGAAATGCACAAATTGCGCGTAGTATAGTTTCTGAGTCGGTGTGTCACACCTCCGCCAAGTGTCGAAGTCAATGAGAAGCACACGATATGCCATCGGGTTGACTAGCATGGAATGTTCAGGCATCGACTTGACATAGCCCACAAAATCGAGTACTAGCTCAAGCAGGGCTTGAGGAAGTGTTTGGCGATCTTCGAGACTCAGCATTGAGGAAGGCTTTCGAGCAGAGCCATGCGTCTGGCCAAGCTCGAACCCCAGTTTCTCTCGGATGATTGTGGACAGTATACCAAACCCTTGGCCTTTCTCCATGGCCTCGCTGATTCGCCAATTGTCCTTGACACATTCAAAGAAGATCTCGGACGCTTGCAAGAAAGCATGCTTGGTGTTAGCGGACTGCAAAAGCTGCATCAGCATAGGCAAAGAACCAGACAGGCACCAAGTCGCATCATCCAAAGACTGCGGAATGACAGCTATGGGGTCGCCAGTCATGACACCCGTGCCATACGAGTGCTTGATGGCTTCGTTGATCGATGGCACAGCTGTATTCAGGGCGACGTGCCGGGTCTTCTGTCTCAGACGATTCCACTTCTGCGAAGCATGGTTGTCGAGCTCGTACTTTGACGATTGGGACTTGTTTGATGCCGCATCGAACTCGATAACAGCGGTAGGAGATATTCCGAGAAGCAGACGATGCTCTGGTACGACATCGCTACCCCGTCCTTCTGTTGCCAGAACAATGTCGGATTTATCAGTCTTCTCTGGGTGCAAGGTTTCGTTGTATCGGTTCAGCTCAGATGAAGCTCGATACGTGAGGAGTGGTCCTAGGCAATCCTGCAAATTGCCGCAATAGCGTGGTCCGAGTCGAAAGTGTACAGCCACGAACTCGTCAGTGAGCGGCACTGAGTACAGGTGTGCACTTGCCAACGACCATCGTGTGTGCACCGTATGTGGGACAGGATTGGCAGCGACACCGACGCCTGTACCGAAGAAAGCCTGAACCGCTCTGGCTCTCCTTTGAGAGCTAGCTGAAGATGCCGACTCATCGGGCATCTCAGGGTAATTGCATTTCCTCTGCTCTGCGAAATTTCCATTAACGAAAAGCGAGGAAATGCTGTGAGTAGGATCTGATGAGCTCTTGCGCTGCACAATGGCAATGTGGTACCACACTCCTGTCTCAAAACAGGTAGATTTAAAGCGTACACTTGGGTTGGGACTTCGGACGGAGGTCTGCAGAATGAGTTGATGGCTGTCCTTTTCCAGGTACACAAGGACGAAACATGTATGACTTGGATCGAAGGCGCCAAAAAGAGTGGTGTGTGAATTCGCGTCGAACTCATCAATACGAATCCATGCGGTCAGCGCATATCCGATGGGAGAAGGAAAGGTCGAGCGTAAGCTAGGGAGCTCGATGGAAGAAAAGCCGCAAGGCTCTAAGTCAAATTGTATAAACGCGGGCTCTTTCGAGCTCTGCAGCATCCGCAGAAGATTAGCCCGGGCATGTTCTGACTCGTGTGCTCTTTGGAAAAGTGTTGCCACATCATTGAGTGTGTTTAGACCATGCCGCCCAATTGACACGAGGGTGTCTTGAAGTGACGCTCGGAGTGAGTCTGGCAGTGCGGTAGAGTAGGCATTATTCAGAATGTCTGAAAGGATGCCGGTGTGCCAAAGTGCCCACGCATTGCGTGTATTACGGCTGGTGGCATCCAACGTGATGTTGAGGAGAGCTTGTAATAGTGCGCTGACAGCTCGACGCTCATCGTGCTCGCCAGCTGATTCGAGCGCCTGCAGCGCTAACTTGATGGGTGCGGAAAAAGCTTCTGGATGCTTGATTTGATATTGAGCAGATGCTGCGCTTGATGGAACGGAAGTGCCCGTGGCGCCATTCGCCTGATCAACAGCAGCTGGCGGCTCACTTGAGAGCTCAGAGAAGTCATTTCGGCGCAGGGCAAATGCCAATGCAAGATCGTAAAGTCTTGCAAGCTCACGCGGTCTCGCTCCCACATCGACAGTGCTGCATAGCGTTGCCTGAATCTTGCTCAAAGACTCTTGCAACGACTGCCAGCCGTCAAGATGATTGCTGAAATATCGCTCATTCCCGTGATGCTGACACAGCGCTTCCGACAGCAATGCCAGCACACTCTTGAGCAATGGGTGGCACGCTGCCGGTGCATCGCCAGCGTCTTGCGGCGAGGACAGCCGAAGATTGACGTGGCGAAGGACTTCAAGCACTCTCTCGAAGCCGGCGCCGTGCCGGAACGTATCCTTGGATGAGGGTTGAGAAGAGAGGTCCTGCCGCAGTTTCTCCGCAGTTTCTGACAGACGCAAGAACTCGAGGCGGTTCGAAGCACGCGGCTGCCAGACGAGATTTCGGATGAGTGCAGCGGTGTCGGTGCTCTGCTCATCTGGCGTCGTGCCTCTGGAGGAAGACCTCAGGCGGCCGACACGAGCGACGCGCAGGGCCATTCTTTCCTCTTTGCACCGTCGGAGCTGGGCAGGCGGGAGACACGCTGCGCGCTCATGCTTTCGATGCCAAGCGGACACATCGAGCCATGCGCAACACTGATCGGTCACCAGGCTGCTGAGGCGCGGCGTGGGGTGTGGGGAGAGGTGCGGATGGAGTGCTTCGGGGGTGCCTCGCCTCTGACTCTCTGAGAGCAGTGGTCCGTGGAAGAGATCCAGATGCCAAGATTGGGGTGCGAGGTCTGAGCGCCGTTGGGCTGCTATTTTGGGAGTCGGGAGTCGGGAGTCGGGAGTCGGTCACTGTGAAGTTGGCGTGGACGGATGCGGAAGCGGAACAGCAGAACATGCGATTGTATGCGTCCAGAAGCGCTGGAATGCACACTTGCGCCTGACTGCCGCAGAGAGTGCTGAGGCGAATGGTACCGTATGGTAATGGGCTAAGTAAGACACAAGCGCATCAGGCAGCGAGCAGGCGTTGCGCGCGGGCCAATGAGTGACGTACGGTGCTGTGGGAGGTGTGAAGGTGTGCAGGCGTGAGTAGTGAGTAGTCCCCGGGGTGACGGGGTGACGGGTGACACTGACGCTGCGTGCACATGATCCTCCTCTGTCTTATCGCGCAATCAGCTACCAGCTCGCAGCTCGCAGCTGGCACACGACCTCGGGCCCTCCCTCTCGACATCCTCCCTTCTTCTATCATCAACACCCTCCCATCTCTCTTGTTTGCATCGCATCATCCGTGTAGCCGCATCGACATCGACACGCTGCTGCACTCTTTTCCATCCCATCATACCCACCCACAGCCGCAGCCATGAAGGGCCTCCTCGGCTTGACGCTGCCGCTGCTGGCCGCCGCCTCGCCAGTCCTCGTCGACCACTCCATCCACCATGGAGAGGCGCCCGTCTTGTCATCAATGAACGCAAAGGAGATCCCTGGCAGCTATATGATCAAGTTCAAGAAGCATGTCACCCACACTCTCGCCGCCCAGCACCACGACTGGGTCCAAGACATGCACCTCAACACGCAGCAGGCGAAGACGGAGCTCAGGAAGAGATCGCAAGAGCCAATACTGGCCGACTTCTTCCACGGCCTCACCCACACATACAACATCGCCGGGAGCTTGATGGGCTACGCGGGCCACTTCGACGAAGATGTCATTGAGCAGATTCGCCGCCACCCAGATGTGAGTCTTCCCAAGGCAGCCATGAAGCTTGCACTTCCTCTTCCTCTACCGAGACCTCTACCAAGCTCTCTCCCGTGTTACATGAATTGTCTAGCGCATTTGCCACGACATGTACATGCGTTCCGACGATGTGACGAATTCATCGTCATGAGAAGCCCCCCGCTGACATGGCCTGTGTAACAGGTTGAATACATCGAGAAGGACCAAGAGGTCCACACTATGGGCGACGATGGCGAGCTGGAGAAGAACGCTCCTTGGGGTCTTGCCCGTATTTCCCACCGCGATGGCCTGTCGTTCGGTACCTTCAACAAGTACCTCTACTCGGCCGATGGTGGTGAGGGTGTTGACGTATATGTCATTGACACTGGCACCAATGTGGACCACGTCGACTTTGAAGGCCGTGCCTCGTGGGGCAAGACCATCCCAGCTGGTGACGCTGATGAGGACGGCAACGGCCACGGTACTCACTGCTCCGGCACTGTTGCAGGCAAGAAATACGGTGTCGCCAAGAAGGCTCATGTCAAGGCCGTGAAGGTCCTGCGCTCCAACGGTTCCGGCTCCATGTCCGACGTCGTTAAGGGCGTTGAGTACGCTGCCCAACAACACGCTGAGCAGGTCTCCATCGCCAAGAAGGGCAAGAGAAAGGGTTTCAAGGGTTCCGCTGCCAACATGAGCTTGGGTGGCGGCAAGTCCTCGCTCCTCGACCAGGCCGTAAACGCCGCCGTGGAGGCTGGTATCCACTTTGCTGTCGCTGCTGGCAACGACAACGCCGACTCTTGCAACTACTCTCCAGCTGCTGCCGAGCACGCCGTCACAGTTGGCGCTAGCACCTTGGCTGATGAGCGTGCTTACTTCTCCAACTACGGCAAGTGCAACGACATCTTTGCACCAGGTCTTAACATCCAGTCTACTTGGATCGGCAGCAAGTACGCCATCAACACCATCTCCGGCACCTCCATGGCTTCCCCCCACATTGCTGGTCTCCTTGCCTACATGCTTTCCCTCCAGCCATCTTCCGATTCTGCCTACGCAGTCGCCGACATCACGCCTAAGAAGCTCAAGGCCAACCTCATCAAGACCGGCACTCTCGGAGCGCTCAGCGATGTTCCAAGCAACACCGCCAACGTCCTCGCCTGGAACGGCGGTGGATCATCCAACTACAGCGACATCATCGAGAAGGGTGCCTACGAGGTCTCCTCGCCAAAGGAGTCCAAGCCAGTCGACCTTAAGGAGAAGGCGAGCGAGTACCTCGAGAAGTTTGAGGAGCTTGAGCAGAAGCTTGAGAAGGAAATGAAGGACTTCCTCCGCCAGATCAAGAGCCAGTAAATTGGGAGTCTGACTCAGGATAAATCTTGATACCCACGATTGGGGGATTGTATACTCGAACGGACACGACGACTCTTTGTAATGGGAGCCATTGCATAGACTGTACTGAAGCTTGGTCAACCACTGAGCGACGGTGCAGTACGTAGACGCCTAACAGGGTGGCACAAATCTCATTGCGTCAGCATTCACGACAGGCGGTTAGGTAGCATTATGGCCTAATGTCATGACATCAAACATAGTATGTCTTTCCGTTCCGTCTTACTTTCCTGAACATTTGACGACAGGTCTGCTACGACGAAGCGGCCAATAATGAACGGGATCGGCATCTGAGTCGGCGTCCAGCACATCCCATCTGAGATCCCACAATCTCTCCTTCCTCCCTCGAGAAATCATTCAAGCCTACTACTACATACCAGGACGAATCAGAGCACAGCAGAGTCATCATCATCATCTTCTTCTCCTTCTTATGCGGACAATATTTGTACAGGGTATCTATCTTTTATATCAGAGCTTGACCTCTAAACATCCCCTCCCTCACCTCCTTCACAATGTCTTTCCTATCCTGTTTGCCCACGAGCACAATTCCCCTACCTCGTCTTCCCATCCGTCCTACACGACCCAGTCGATGGATGAAATCTATGCTTGTGTGTGGCACGTCATAGAGAATCACGTGTTTGACGAGCAAGGTGTCGATTCCTCGCGATCCGATGTCCGTTGTTACGAGCACGCGTGTGTTGGACAACTTTTTGGGAGTGGATGAGAATGCTAGGTCGTCTTGGGGTTCTGGTTTGGTTTGGGATTTGTTTGCAGGGACGACTGGAGAGCCGGTGAAAGCTGCGAGAGTATCGGCTTGTTTGCGATCGTCGCTGTCCCGGGATAGAGCTACGGCATCGATGCCTTTCGCTTTGAGAAAGTTTGCCAGCTCGGTTGCTTTCTCGCGTTCGTTCACGAATACGACGATTTTCTTTTCGTGGCCATCTTCGCCTGCTTCTGCGGCTTCTTTCCCGATGTCCCAGATCGTTTGAGCGCAGGCGAGATCTCGGTTTCCTTGGTAGGGGACTTTTTCGATGTCGATAACGCTGAGTTGGACGCGGCGCGGGATGGCGTGAAGGTTTGGTGTGACGAGACGTTTCGTTTCTGGGTAGCGTTTCTTTAGGTAGGAGTCGACGCTGCGAGGAATTGTGGCGGAGCAGAAGACCAACTGCTCGAGAGAGGGTGCCGCTCGGTCGAGGAGACCTGATGTGATGGGGCTGAAGGAGCGGTCGAGTAGACTGTCTGCTTCATCGCAGACTAGATGGGTGACGCGTGATAGAATATGAGGATCGCTCTCGGTAATGCTGTTGAGCAGATGAGGAGTCGAAATGACAATGTCAACGCCGCCGGGTGCAAATACTCGATTGCGAATCACAGTGCCAGTGAAAGCAGCACTGATCATGGCAGATCGAAACTTGATGGTGTGTGATAGACTCTTTGCCACAGCTCCAACTTGGTTCACGAGCTCTGCAGTAGGCAAAAGGATGATGGCTTTGGGTCGGCCAGCATCGACTGGGAGCTCAGGTGCATCCAACTCGAGCATTCTCCCCTGCTGCTCTCTTCGCTTCATCTTCTCCGCCTCCTCTTGCTCTTTTCTCTTCTTATCTTTATATTCGGCCCTCTTCAGCGCATCAATGATGGGCAACAAATATGCCAACGTCTTGCCGGAGCCAGTTTCTGCTGCTAGTAAAAACTGCTGCATGCGCTGCTTGGCCTCCGCCTCGAATCTCCTCCTCCTCCGTCTCTTTCGATCTTCCATATTAAGGAGCGCTGGTATTGCGAGACGCTGAATTGGCGATGGCGCTACCTCTGTAAAACCCGCGAGGACTTGGTTCGTTACTGCCTCTTTCACCACGGGCAGTAGATCAAAGTCGTCGAAGCTCTCGCGCTCCATGATCTCCTGCTTGATCCGGCTCCGCTGTTCGTATGATATGCTCGATAGCCGACGCTGCATTTTGAGCGCTCGCATAGGATCTCTAGGCTTTTCTTCCCGCTTGTTCTTCGCGCCCGGTACTAATCTGGTCTGTCGTTTCCGCTCGGCGGCCGATATTTGGTTCTTCTGGAACTGCAAAGCTCTTGGGGCCTCGGTAGTGTTCATGCCGCCAAATGGACTATTTCGCGATGATCTTGGAGCTGCTGGTCGGCCTCCAGCAGTCTTCGATGGACTGCCTCGAGCCACCCTTTCTGACAAGACCATTCGCGATGGCTTTCGTTTCTGCAGGGTCGCTGCATTCCTTGAAGACTGCCATGATGGACTGAGCGCCGTTGCTAGAGACCGCAATTCGCAGAGAGGGCACACTGATGGCACGAGGCGTAGCATGGTGATACTGCCACTGCCACTTCGCAGGACTTCGTTCATTCACAGATGCAGATCGTAAAATCTGGATCTCCATTCGCGCTAGTGCGCGCGGCCATGCATCGGTTAGTTCCCTACCAAACGCTAACAAGGGACCGACAGCTGAGATCTTTCTACCGCTCGCTTTTCACTATCTGACTTTGGTATTTATGGCTCACACGGTTGCTCATACATTGCCACGGCCACGCTGTAGCTATCATAATTGGTTCGAATAAACAGGCTGAACATAGGTTGATAGAATATTGGTCTTGGCGATTGCGATGCATCGCCTAGCATGTGGGTCGTTGCTGTAGATACCGGCCCGTACCCCGCCGTATCAGCTTCCAAGGAAAGGACGCTCAGGGTGTTGACGCGCTGCGCAGTGCGCACTGCAGAATCATATCATACTACACACCAGCTTCTGCTTCAGTGCGAGACTCTTTTTCACCCACATTCGCTCACGCCGGCATGCTCTAGTCCTTTGCTACAATCCGGAACTGTACAGACTATATTCGCTTCATCTTCACCGTATTCCCAGTACCGCCCGCCAGCCGGCCCGCTATCAAACGGCGCCTGAGCGCATTCCGCTCTGTTGATCTTCGGGTCGCCGCAGACCATTTCTTGGAACTTCACGCGCATTCCAGCGTTTCGCTTCCATTGAGCATTGTCGGAGCGTGTGAGAGCCCGCGGCAATGGATTCTGTATGCGCAACACTCCTCTGATTGCGTGCTGCAAAGAAAATCGTTGCTCACAATGGTGCGCCAGGTCCAGCCGCAGCCGCTGCGCATCAGCAAGTCGGGCATTGGCACTGGCCATACGCCTGCATCCACGCCGAACAAGATGCCCGCCGGTCGAGCGCTGCAGGAGATTGGGAACACCTCGCAGCGTCGGAACTCACCATCCTATAACCAAGCGACGAGGGTAAGAGGCATCCCCACCCACGGTACCTGCTGTTTAAGTGCGAAGCCATACTGACCTGCCTTCCTCGCAGAAGATGATTGTCTCTCGCGAGTCGTCACCCTACACCGAGAACTCCTTCACCAAAGACTCGCCGCGTGGTTTCTGGACTGCCAAAGACCCCATGTCGCCCAGCTCTCGCTTGGGCTCAGACGAGAACACGCCTGAGCGCGATCATTCTCCCGGTGTGACCTCGCCTAAGCGTCGAGCCAGTATCGAGCGCCTGCAGAAGGCCGGCCGAGTCAAGTCCAGCAACATCTTCGCTCTGGAGTCGAAAGATGCCTACGATCCATCCAACATGCCCATCGTCGAGCGACCGAGCGCCAATCGACCGCTGAGCGGGAATTTGGTCAACAACAGCTTCACTAGATATGACAGCATGAGGAAAGAGAACAATCCAGTCACAAGCCCGCGCAGACAGGCACACAAGCGCACAAACAGCGAGGCCACCGTCCCTCTCATGAGCAGTCCACTGACGAGGCCTGTCCCGATTCCGGCAAAGCAGTCAACGCCCACCAGTTCACCTACCAAATCATCGCTTTCACGAACAAGTCAATTTGGCGGCTCCTTTGAGAATGAACCTGGACCATATGCAGATGGAGATGATCGCTGTCCGACCCCACGCGCTCGTGCTATTCATCGTCAGAATAAGAGTGTCACTTTCCGTGAGGATCCGCCTGTCATCAACGAGTATGAGAACCCGACCCCAGAACCATCAGTATCGGCTGCATCTGGCTCTCGCGAGGGAAGCTGGGATTCCGACTATTCCGATCCGGACTATAGCTTTGAACGTGGCAGCTCGCTTAATGAGCAACGAGATGATAGCTTTGATGCCGATCTGGAGAACGCAGACAAGACTCCGGTCGTCCTGCCAGAAGATTGGTCTCGCATGTCTCCAGATGACGCACGCACAGATCTAGTCGACGAGGGTGATGATGTTTTCGAGGGCCCTTCGCCAGTCTCAGAGCGGAACATGCTGAGATCTGCAAGTGTAACATCCGACGGAGAGTCCAGACCTCTCCCACCTTTGCCTGGACTCATGACAGGTCGCAGTGGCTCTGCCACTGCCCTTGCAGCCGGACGTGCCTCCAGCGGCCAGCGAAACTTGCCAAGCCCACCGAAGCGTGCCTCATGCAGCAAGGAGGACATTCTCAACATGACGCGTGACTCTTCTATGACCATGGAAGAGCGTTTGCATCTCATGGGCCATCAACATGGCAAGACCGAGGAGCGACCATCCTCGAAGCACTCGGAAGCTGAGCTGACAATCACGAACCTGGACACCGGTGAGAAAACGGACATGCAAGTGCACGCAGGTCAGGTCGAGGAGAACTCTGCCATCGCAGACTTGGCCGACTTTGACAACTCTCCACCCAAGATCTCCCGCGAAAGCATACTGCGAAAGGTCAGAAACTCCAAGTATGACTTCCAGGACGACGAAGAGGCATCCAACCTTGACGATAGTCCAGCAAGGCCGTCTTATGCAGAGCTCGCCAAAATGGATCCAGATGAGCCAATACCATCTCGAGAGAACAGCCGCGAGACCAGTGAGGCATATCTTGGCGAGTACATCCATGATCGCGCCGATAGCGAGCAAGTCGAGATCAAGGAGGAGCCGACAGATGACGATGGTATTGACCTCAACGCTATCCCGACCATTGACGAGCCTGCCCGGGACGGAACGCGCTCACCTTCGCGCATGGATGATTATGAGCGTCAGTCCTCGGTAATCCGCCACGATGTCAGCTCCACGAGCGATCACGATGACTCTGAGAGCCGCTACAGCTCAGTTGAACCAGATGCCGAGAGCACTGTCCTGCAAGCAGAGCACAAGGAACCATTTACAGAGCTGGATACTGGAAAGGAGACCCTTGAGGACGCCATGCAGCTTCTCAGTGTCAAGGACTACTCACAGCCCGGGCCAACAGCAGCAGCCGAAGCACCCAGGCAGAAGTCGATCAGTGGAGATTTCATGGGACTTCCGTCGTACCTTGCCTCCGAAGATTACGACTTCGGCATGGGAGAATACATCACTCCACCCCCGCCAGCTGCTGTCGACGATAAGGCAAAGCAACTTGATGTGCTCACCAACCCACCAAAGCTGGAACCGGCACGACAATCCAAGCCTTCGTTCAACGACTTGCCACGGCCAACATACGATGGTGCTGAGTTCTCGCCGCCAGGCACGCCGGACTCACTTATTCGTCGTGATAGCGAGGTATCCGCGTTAAGTGAGGAGCTGCCACCTCCAGCAGAGGCCGAGCCAGAACAGCCAGTGATTCCGGAACGACGAGCGACAATCAAGACGAATGGCCAGCTCAAGACCCGGCCCTCTGCGACACCAGCAGACCTGCGCGCAATGGCGAACCAGCGACGACTTGTTAGTGCCGAGCGTCCGGTCCCTCCAATCCCGCAGGCGTACCAAGCTGAAATGGCCGAAACCGTTGAAGAGGATCTCTCGCAGCACTCTTCCGAGGGCGATGATTCAAAGACCGATTCAGGAGTCGAACATAGCCCAGACACGGCCGCCCGTCGTCAAGAGGTCAAGAGGCAGATGAAGCTCGATCTCGAGATTCCTGCTCTCAACGCTGAAGTCGCAGATGATGGCCTTGGTCTGGAGTCCGAGTTCGAGCGTGTCATTCAAAGCCAGAAGGTGGGCTCACTTTTTGCTACATCCTTATCTTTAGCTCATCATCGTGACGCTGGTGCTAACGTATCTGCTCGCAAACAGAAGGGCTACTTGATGCGCCAGAATACGAAGCTCGTTGTGGCTACTAACCGCAACTTCTCCGGCGACAGCAACGGTACCGCGAAATCGAACGACATGCCCATGTCCTCAACGGCAGAAGCACGACCGACCTCGCGCGGTGGACGACCGGGAAGCAGTCCTCGCAAGCCTAGTGCTGAGCAGTTCCTCAAGACTGAGCCATGGAATGGAAAGGCCAGACGCAAGAGCCAGAGACAGGCATCGGCAGCACAACACAACATTGGGCCAGCACCACCGCTTCCCGGGCAGCCAAGCGCTCTCGGTGTTGTGGATGAGGACTTTGCAGCAGGTACGAGCAGTCTCGAGGATGACGTTGGTGAGGGTGTCGAGCGCGGCCGGCTTTTCGTCAAGGTGGTCGGTGTCAAGGAGCTTGACCTGCCAATTCCACGAAACGACCGTCTATACTTTCAGCTCACGCTGGACAATGGCCTGCATTGCGTGACGACGAGTCCTCTGGAACTGGGCAAGAATGCGCCAATTGGGCAAGAATTTGAATTGGTGGTGCTTAACGATTTGGAGTTCCAGCTTACCCTCAACACGAAGCTTCCGGAACCACCAAAGCGGCATGCCGCAGCAACGCCTCCCTCGCCAAACAAAGCTGCGCAGCACAAGAAGACATCCAGCCTCTCTCGCTTCCTGGCCAGTCCAAAGAAGCGTGCTGAGCGTGAGCGCCAGGAGCGTGAGGCTGCTGAGGCTGAGGAGCGAAGACTGCAAGAAGAGGAGCGTCGAAAACGAGCTTCAGTACAGCCAACAGCCTGGGACTATCTCCATGAACTCGTGAACGATGTCGATGGGTCCTTCGCTCGATCATACGTCAATCTCAAGGCTCACGAGAAGGAATGTTTTGGTCGTCAGCTCACAGTCGATGTTCCTTGCTACAATGAATGGGCCCAGGAGAGAGACGCCGCTGTTGTGAACAGTGTTCGATCGAAGCGTGGCAATGCTGGTCCTGTCCGACGACCACCTTACGTTGTCGGATTCCTCGAACTACAACTGCTTTACGTCCCAAAACCGGCTGGTGCCACGGACGCCCAAATGCCAAAGAGCATGAGCAGTGCAATGCGGGAGATGAACCGAGCCAGCGATCACGTCGAGGTTGTGCACGAGAGCTACCTGTCTCAGCAAGGTGGTGATTGTACGCACTGGCGACGCCGTTTCTTCCGTCTTCAGGGCCCGAGATTGACGGCATACCACGAGCACACGCAGCAAAAGCGCGCTGTCATCAATCTCAGCAAAGCCAGCAGACTCGTTGATGACAAGAACACTCTGGTTGCGAACCCGAAGTCAGCCAACCCAAGCAGTAAAGGAGGTCGTAGGAAGTCAGCTTTCGCCGAGGAAGATGAAGGCTACCAGTACGTCGAAGAAGGTTTCCGGATCCGATTCGCGAACGGTGAGACGATTGACTTCTATGCCGACTCAAGAGCGGAGAAAGATGAATGGATGAGTGTCTTGTCCCAGGTCATCGGCAAACCAGACCCAGGAAAGAAGGCAGCGAGCTGGACAGATCTCGTCTTGGCCAGAGAGCGTGTCGAGGGTGTGCCGCCACAAGTTCAGGCTGCTTCTTCAGCAGCTGCTGGCGTTGAGGTTAGAGACTTCACCAAACCGCCGCGACCGGAGAGGAAGCTTAGTGATCGAAAGCCAGTGACTGGAAGCAGGAGTGTCCCAACCAGTCCTGTAAAGCAGGGAGCAGGCTTCCCACCCATGCCTCCTCTTGCTGAAGCGGAACCTGGATCGAGGCCCAAGACTCCACCCATGAACCCCAGACGTGGACATCGATCAAGAGATGCCGTGAAGAGCATGATCTTCTAGGAGGATGGTCAAGACACGTCGGGTCGGATAGTCGAATGGCTGAAGACTACGCCAGATTCCACGCCGTTGAAGGGTGTGCCGTTCCGGGAAGAGGAACCGCAGAATCTCAGCTTGGAGAGTTGGGATGCTTGTGATGTGGACGATCTTTGAAAAGAAGTGTGCGCAGTCTCCTTGGTGCCGAAGAAGTTATCATCGTTGTGGAATTGTGGATAGGATGGACATGCTTATTGCGAGCATTTCGTATCTGTCTGTATGTGGTCCATCATCATCCTGTACAGTAACTTGTGCAGCAAATAAGTCGTCGTTGTTTCTGGCGGAGGCGTTGGTCGGTGGTGAGGAGTTTTGAGTTGTTTGTAATGAGAAGACAGGAATGAAAAATTGGACACACACAAAGTACATGCTTACTACTCACTGATCTCGTCATCATTTCAGTAGCTCATCGAACCGGATCATTTGCTTTTTCTGTGGCAACTCCCGAAGTCCGCGATGCCAGTCAGTCTCATGTTCATCAGAGAATAGTGTATGGGTGACGAAATAGGGGGACGTTTTACTGAGGTGAAGGGGTGTTGTTGTGGTCTTTGCACTGCTGTCGGTAGGCACTAGTGAGGGTGTGGTTGATATCTTGTTGTCCTGTGCTTTTGGCACAAGGTTGGTTGCACGTGCGGTCGACATGGGTTGTGTGGAAGTTGAGCCAGGGTGAGGACTTTCGCAGGAGGAGGGAGGAGGACATACGGATGCATGTTTATTCGAGAGATCTTGGTGATTTTCAATGCGAGTATCTCTTAGAATACATCCTCTTCAGTTTTTGTATATGTTTGGAAGAGATTTTCTGTATCATTTCTTCAACACATTCTGCTCCACCATGCCTGCACAAGCCTTCTTGGCTATTCCGAATGCATTCCCGCGCTCATCAGAGGCGGAAAGGGAAGTCAGTAGTGCTATATGTCTCTAGTGCTACTACGGATAAGAAAATTTCGCTTCATGAAAAGAAATGAAAGTCATCTCGGGCCAAAGATCAAAAAGACCCACCGAAGCAGCATGATATGTTTCTTCCTCAGAACGCCTGCACTTTCCCCAACCCTTTCGATCGAACACTGTCATTGGCAAAATATTCTCCCGTAACATCGCCAATGTCATCGAAAGCGAGATGAACCGGGATCATAGCGCCTTGTTCTGGAGTCTTTGGAGGTCTCTTTCCAACAATCACTCCCATATCTGTCGATACCCAGCCGGGACAACAGCAGTTGATGAGACCTTGTTGATGATGGCGGGAAAGAATTTTGGTGAATGCGCGCACGAGTGCTTTGCTCACGCAATATGATCTTCCTGTCGCGCCGAAGCCAGATGATTCTTCGGTTCCATCTCGGACCGCGGTCTATATATGGTGGGGAGCGTGTTAGTTTCGTGACTCTTTGATGCGATCTGGGAGAAGGGAATGATGTACCAGATAGTCCTGTGCTATTTGCTCGAGATCACCCAAAGTTTTGGCTTCTCTGAAGCGAGCTTGGATTTCGGGACTGTAGATCTTCAAATTAGATGCGATGGATGCTAAGTTGACGATTCGACCTGTCTTCGCAAGATGTGGGAGGAAAAATTGGCACATCTGCAAATGTCAGTACCGAAGCTTGTGGCAACGCTTCCAAAAGCAGGAGGTGCAACAAACCTGCAATGTGCCTCGATAGTTGACATCCAGTGTCTTTTTGGCATTTTCCAAGTTGTATTGTCGGTCGACATTGATACCTCCGTTGTTGATCAAGACATCAATAGTATCGGTGTGACTCTTGATGATGTCTTTGAAGGCGTGTATACTGTCTTGACATGAAATGTCCAGTTTGGGATAAACGACTTTTAGGTCGCTGCGTGAGCTGTTGAAGGCTAGGTCTTCTCCTTTTCGTGAAGTTGCGAATAATGTTAGAGGCCCAGGGTCCTTTCGTGATAGAATCACTTCGCAGATGGCGCGTCCAATACCGCGATTCTGGCGATTGCGTTAGCCATGAAAGACCTGACGACGACCGAGGTCATTTGGCCTTCTTACTGCGCCGGTCACTATGACTGTACGAGGAGAACCCATAAGGTATTTTTGTCTAGGAATTGAAGTCGTGGAGAAATGTTCAGAGGATAAAATCAATGGAAGCAGTCGAGGTCAATGTTGATGCAGGAACAGCGGGACCGGCTCAAACTTTAAGTGGCTATTCATGTCAGATATCGCGTCCATAACACTGACATTGCTTGCCACAATTGGGAACAGGTATATTTTCTTTCCTTAGCGAGTAGATACTATAGTGTTCTATTTTCACGCATGTAAATCGACTGACTACGTACTTCTCGCCCGCTCGATGAATCGTACAAGCTCAACTTATAATCAGAGCGGCACCTGTCCGCTATAGAACTTCGCATACAATTGTGGAAAAGCGCCCGGACTCGACCTTCCATCGACCAGAAGACAAGTATGACCTGGTCCGTTTCTCCCAGAGTAAGGATGACACTCGGTGACCATTCTAACATTCTGACGTGGCAGTCCAGAACCTGTGAGGATGCTGGTGAGAATGAGGATGTCGTTGAAGATACCAGTAGTGTCATGCTCATCCATTCTCGCTTCAATGGGAACGAAAGCCCATCTCGTTACACTCTCGCCGGTCGCTGAATCTCGTGGTTGATGCGAGCCCATCCGATGCACTACACGACTGGGTCGGAAAATCACAGCGAGCGTGGTGCCTTCGAAATGATGTCGTCTTTCGAGGACAAAGCGACGAAATGCGGTTGCCAAGGGCGTTTCGCTGATACTGCCTCCGAGTACTGTGCTCAGACCTCCAGATGAGAATTGTGCAACGACGCAGCATTTCCGGGAAACGATGATCAGACCTGTGCAGGTGTCAAGGCCTGTCGTCCCGAGCACTTTAAATTCTATATTGGAAGAAGTGCTAGTGTCGAATTCGGTGGTTGATGCTTGGCCTGCGGATGGATTATAGGTTTCGCCGGCTCCATTGCTCTTGTAGTGGAGAGAACCGGTTGCAAAGTCGATGAAAGACCAGCGATCGATTGACACATTTTGTGCTGAGCTAAGAGGCGCAAGCACCGATCTGATGTCGAACGACACATCAGAGTTGAGGAGAAGGATCCTGTCTGTCATGTCCATCGATCAAAATCTGACTCAAAGCTGATGGAGTTGAATCATTCGATGTTCCAGAGGGCCTAGCTTTTGTACCTTGCGAATATGTTGCCTCGATCATGATGGCGTTGGACGACTCCTTAGGTCGCGTCAGGCTGAGGCACGACCGTCCACCATGGCTTTTATAACACCGTCGAATAACGACTCGGATGAAATTCATCAAGTGTTGCAGAAAAGCCACATGTGAACGCATGATTGTCGTGTTGAGGCTTCAAGCATCTTCATCGATCGTCGACGTATTTCCTCATTGAGCATAATGCGGGCAATGCGGATATGGGCTCTGGAGGTCTGATGAAGTCATGAATGTAGCAAGTCTGAGATCAAGAGGCATTCTGGTCCATTGATTAAATTTGTGGTTTGCCACTTCTCAGCCAGGCTGTAAACAGGTCGCGTTCATCGAAGCTGGAAGCGCCACATCCGGATCTGGAAATAGGTGATTCTCTTTCTTGCACTGCCACACCTGGTATCAGTTGAAGTTGAATTGAATGCTCTTCGAGATTGGTTTCAAGACGGGAGAGCCCGAAGAAGAAAATGCAGTTTCAGAACTGGCTCGAGCTGCACACGTGCGTCAAGTCAGGCGTCTCACTCGCTGGGACATCACCTGTGAGGCCGGCGCATCTGATGCAGTACAAGCTCCTGAAAGTTTCGATGAGCAACTCCCAGAGAGCTGAAAGCTTGCGCTGATACTATGTACGTATAGCACATGCGTGTCGTGGTGGCGACAGCTGCTCAAAAATTGAGATTGGACCTCTGAGGGAGTCCAGCAGTTTGGCAACACACCAGCCATGACAGGGCACAGGATCTTATGTCAGTGGCATCCTGAGTAATTAGGAGCTGATGTGCAAGTGGCTCCTCGGTCTCGGTTGCTAGAGCAACATGCAAGCAGGTCGAGCGTTGCCAACGCTCTTGGCGTCATATGCGGACGAGACGAAGTCTCAGAGAATTTCGTTTGCTGATCAACCACAGCCATCGTCCTCGAAATGGCGTCGCTACCCCATCCTCTTGCGCTGGCCGACCTGAAGGGCTTTCACGACAACAAGCATCTTTCGGATGTCACCATCTGCTTTTCGGGCCGCAAGTTTCGCGGGCACAGGATCGTGTTGTGTCTCGCATCAGACTACTTCCAGATGACTTTCAACGGAAGATTCTTGGTAACGTCGAACGCCTGGACCATAATGAAGTTCACATCGGCTGATTCGCGTGCGTAAGGAGTCCAAGTCAAACGAGATCGAGCTGAAGGAGGATGATCCTGATGCCGTCGCCGGCGTGCTGAGGTACATCTACGGTCTGGATCCATTCGAAGCAGTCGCCGCTCCAGGAATTTATTTCGATTTTCGACTGTACGAGACGTCAGGAAAGTACTTGCTCCCGAGACTGCAAAGGAAAGCGGCTGCATCTGCAAAGAAGAAACTGGAGGAGAAGTGGGACACGCCCAGCTTTCCCGATTACGTCTACTCCATCTATCAGCACACGGCAACGCACAGTGGTGACCTGCGGGACATTGCCAAGACGATCTGTCGCGATCATCTACCGGCATTGATGGCCAGGAAGAAATTCAAAGAGGTCCTGTTGGAAATTCCGGAACTATCGCTGGACATCATGCAATTGGTTGCGAAGCAAGAGACGATGAATCGCGACTCGTATTGATCCACTTGCGCCACGTACGGCCACGACATGGAAAGAAGAAGCTAAGGCATTTCTGTTCCTTTGAGCCAGATGAAAGTGTGGATGAGAAGCACGGGCTACCAAAACATGATGGAAAGGCCAGTAGCTTATGATTACTGACGGAAGTGCTTGGTGCCTCAACTTTGTCGCGGATCACCATCATGATCCAACTGCGTCGTGTTGTCGTGCATGACTTGTTGTGCAAAGCTCACGTTATCTTGTCGCTTGGGTGGCGGCACCTCATCCTCGTCATGCTTCAGTTGGGGCGGATCCTGCCCAGGCTTGTCGGCAAACAAGTCCATAATAGCGCCTTTGCCGGTAGCGCGTTGATAGATGGCAAAGCTGGTCCCGAACTCGCGGTGAGCGCCAACCTGGATGGCTTTGAGTAGCTCTACGGCGAAATTCTGGCAATTATTGCTGATGAGGTTGTAGGCTGGCCGTTTCTCGCGCCTAGTATCATTGAAAGATTGGTAGTCTGCTCTTGAAAGCACGGCGAAGAACTTACATGTTATGAATGGTCATTCGACTTGCCTCTCGGACTGCCTGGTCATTGAAGCGCGTCTTGCCAACTTCAAATATGTGCCATTCTTCTCGCTTGAGCTCCTCGTTAATGTAGATGATGTCCAGATTGCCGTCCTACCGTCAGGAGCATCAGCGCATTGCTCTGTGGGAGTGATGTCACAAGGAGTTCAGCTTGCCATACCATCCAAAGCTGATGCACATAATCGCCGACAATTACTGCCCAATGCTGTGTTGGATCTGGATATTTGCCGATCTTTGCAGTGATCTGCTTGCCGATGCCGGTCTTCTCAGCGAACCATTTCCCTGTCGCACCTGCTACAGGATGCTGCTGTTCATTAGCAAGAGCAGCGAGTGCGGTATGAATTCTACGCCGCGGACACTACTCACCCAACCCAGCTCTACCGTCCTTGGCTCGCCGCTGACAAGAGCTTCGCCATCAGGAACGACATCCGGCCGGCTGCCGAGTCCTGCAGCCTTTTGCAGTTCCTTTTTGGCATCACTTGCTTCTTTGGCGGTCCAGGATTGAGCCTGCTGAAGGTATGGTTTCACGAAGGTGGTGACCTTGTCGGCCATTGAGCTCTTGGCATCCTTCTTTTCTTCAATATTTTCACTGTCCAGCGAGCGATGGTTGCTGCCTTTGTCTTTATTCCGCTTGAACAAGGTCATGATGTGGTGTCAACTTGTCAAGAGAAGTCCAGGCTGGTGGATTTTCTTGCAGGGTTCTCGGCCACAGCTGGTCGCACCTTGCTCTTGCTGGGAATCTGCTCCGACGTAGCTTCTCCCTGCCTCCTTCTCTGTGCTGTTCAGAAGCAGCGCTGGTGCATTTCGGTGTCAACGATGAGATCATGTTGGCATTCACGAGATTGATGATAGGTACATGTACCTGCCCACGCATGACTGTGTACGGATTCCGACGCGGTCCATTTTGCTTCCTTGAGAACGGCGGCTCGATGCGCTCGCTTAATTTTGAGTAGCGCGTCAGAGTCGTGTTCCTAGGAGGCTGCAGGGGAAGTGCGCGATTTGGGCAGTATGTTTTGATGGCAAAACGAGCGGGATGCATGGGAGACTTCAATGGCCGGCCAATTGAAGCTACACACGAAGCCATGGGTGGGACTGCTGATTAGTGATTACGACGACGGCTGCTCAAGCCTCATGCTCTCACGCAGCCATTATCCACACGTGGAGAAGAAAATGAAAAGTCCATGGCTGGTAGGTGTGAGGAAGTCTTCCAATCATGAACAACAAACGAGCATCATCATATTGGCATTATTATTGGTGCTCGAGATGATCCAGTGCAAAATACATTGCCGAGGCTGGGAGAGCCGCTGGGGTGCGATGGTGCGTCGCCCTGGTCGCGTTCCCCAGCAACGTGTGTTTGGTGACGCTAAGGAAAGCACGACCCAACCTCTCTCCACCGCACCAATAACTGTGCCCTTCTCCTCCTCATCGCTCCATCTCCTGCTTCTGCATCTGCATCACAATTCAACCGTCACTTGGCCACGTACAAGAGCTTGCTGCTGTCCACACACTGGCTTCCTGCAGCTCTTACGCGTAGTCAATTCTCCGAGCTCCTCGACACAGCTCAGCTTGTAGTCTTCCATCTCTCAGAGTCGGAAGACCTTCAAGTCGAGCACCGCTGCCAACCTGGATTACGACGCGAGAGTACCGTGAGTGCATGCATCCATCAATGGCCGCGCGCTGAATCAAAGTCCATCACTAATCCCGCCTCCAGAGTCCCGTTCAGCGTCTTTCCGTCTACCTACAAAAACGAGCAGACTCCTGAGACCACAGAAGTCAAGACCGACGAGCGTGTAACAGTCCAAGGCGCTGGACGGGAAGATCGACAAGACCCTTACCCTTCCCAAACCGGCCCTTCCCGTCGAGACGACCGCTACCGCGAAGACATCCGCATCACTGAAGAAGACCGTTTCCGCAGACAAGACCGACGTGACCGCGAGGACATTCGCATCACTGAGGACCGCCAGTACCCCGGACCAGGCCGCCACGCAGAAGCTGTCGATACTCGTGTAGAGATTGATATTGACCGCCACAAGTGAGTCTTCACATTTCTTCTTCTGCTGACGCGCTCGCACACTCGCAAGCCTCACTGTTTACCGCATTGATGCTCCTTGTCGAGACCCCAGCGCCTGAGGCCGCTCTGGCTCCACTCAGCCCCATGCACAAACACGACCACATCTGCCCCTGAGTGGCCCTTGGCAGACACGCCATGGTCCTAGCTCCTCTAGTGTGTTGTGTTGTCGTCCAAGCAACAAAGACCATCACTTCTCACCGCACCTTCCCTGTTGTCCATCACAGATCTTGGGCCTCTCATCACCACATCGTCGAGGCAGCTCACTAACATCTTATCCTCTGCAGCTACCGTGAGCCATACCAGCGTTACAGCGACGCTCAGATCAACGTCCAGGACCGCGTCTACGACCGCGAGTACCCCACTCGTCACACTCCAGCAACACAGATTGATCTAGACTCCCGCATCGACATTGCCGAGCGAGAGTTCCGTGATCGAACCACCCCATTCACTGAGGAGTACAGAGCTTCTCGTCGTTGGCAAGACAAGAGCACCCATCCACGCGAGTACCCGGCTGAAGGCCACCAAGAGCGACAGCCAGTGCGCTTCGACGACGAGAAAGTCGAAGAGCGCGTGACTGTCGAAGAATCCGCACGTCCTCACAAGCGTGATATGGGATATTACGACGAGGACGGCCACTACCACTCGTTCCGTCACGGAGTCCGCCGCGCTGCTGACAGAATTTTGCACCCATTCGAGAGTCACCACCGCCGCCACCACTCCCATCACGACACCGTTGTTGAGCGTGAAGAAGACGTTGTAGTCAAGGACCGCGAAGTCACCATGTCTGCTCCACGCGACGACGGAGGCCGCCGCTATGCTGGCCCACCAAACACCATCACGATCCCATGCCACCACATCCGCATTGGCGACCTGCTCATCCTTCAGGGCCGCCCTTGCCAAGTCATCCGCATCACCACCTCTGCTCAGACTGGACAGCACCGCTACCTTGGTGTTGACCTTTTCACCAAGCAGCTTCACGAGGAGAGCTCCTTCGTCAGCAACCCAAGCCCATCTGTTGTTGTCCAGAACATGATCGGCCCTGTCTTCAAGCAGTACCGTGTCTTGGATATCCGTGACGATGGCCACGTTGTTGCCATGACTGAGACGGGTGATGTCAAGCAAGGTCTTCCAGTCCTTGACCAGAGCAGCCTGCTGCAGCGCCTCACCGAATCTTTCAACAACGGTCGTGGCAGCGTTCGTGTGCTTGTCATCAGCGACGAGGGCCGTGAGCTTGCTGTTGACTACAAGGTTGTCCACGGCAGCCGTTTGTAAATCCGCAGATGTGAGTAGTGTCCTGCCCCCCATTACCCACGACTTTGCTGACGACTCCGTTCAGTATGAGAGAGAACACGAGTTGCATAGCGCAATGTCGCACCCGTAAAAGCCATTCTATGGTCAGTCGCGATTAGGAGTTTTGCTTCTTGCTGTACCTATAACGAGTGACTTCCACCAAAAGATTATGAGGATGCGGCGTCAGGAAAGTTGTGCATAGGAAAGACAGGTGGGATGGATGAACAGATTGTGCATAGCATGCAGAAGTTGCATCGAATTGTAATGATGGTACATGCTCACATACTTTTCCTTTTCTTGTTGCTGATGAAGGATACCTACAGTAGGTACTGTCTTGATTGCTGACGTCGGTCTGGGGTGTCCGATACTTTCGGCATCGATCAACAACCCTCCTTCAGTGTTTGCGGGGTAGTAGTGTAGTCGAGAAGTCGACGACCATGAACTTGACGTAAGATGTGCCGAACGGCGTAGGTATGTTGTTGCAGCAGTTGGTATGATTACCTCTACTTCTCATTTGTCTCAACATCAACACCGTTGTTCTATCCCCAGGCTTCACCCAAAAGTGATCTAACTGCCAAGATACCTTAGAAGAAGAAGTACACAGTATCAACTAAAGCATTCCGTCCTTTCTACCCCACGAAACAGCATCCAAACAACACATACCATGGGATCAATCACTCCTCCTCCAGAAGAAGACCAATCCCTAATCTTCACCCACCTTCCTCCCTTCCCGACCAACGTCCCAACCGTGCCCCTGCTCCGCCTCAACCTCTCCAAACTCCTCTCCAACGATGCGCTCGAAGAAGAAAAACTCTGGCGCGCATGTTGCGACCTAGGATTCTTCTACCTCGACTGCCGCGGCGGAAACGGAATCGACAGGACAACTCAAGTCAAAATCTCAGGTGACCATCTCCTGCATTCCGCGGACGAACTCTTCGATCTCGCCGAAGGAGTTTTCGACTTACCGGTCTCAGAGAAAGCGAAATACGACATGATGGGCGAGAATTCATATTTCGGGTACAAAGGTTATGGAGATGGTGTGATTGATAGAAAGGGAACGAAGGATCGGGTTGAGTTTTGGAATATTTCGAAAGATGATATTTTGGGGATTAGTGAGAGGTTGAAGAATCCGGAGGTTTTGAGGGGGGAGGAGAATCGAGGGAAGATTCGGGCGTATATGTTGGATTGTCATGCTGTTGTTACGATGATCTTGGGGAGGTTGGAGAAGAGACTGGGATTGCCTGAGGGGAGGTTGAGGGATTTGCATCGTTTGCAGGCTGTGAGTGGGGATCAAGTCAGGTGGGTTAAGAGTCCTCCGCAGGATATCGATGATCGGAGGGCTGCGTTGGGGGAACATACGGATTTTGGATCTGTGACTGTGCTTTTCAATCGGCTCGGTGGGTTGCAGGTATTGCCGCCGGAGACGGAGGAGTGGGCGTATGTGAAGCCTTTAAAGGGCCATTGTGTTGTGAATTTGGGGGATGCGATGGTGAAGTTTACCGCGGGGATTTTGAGGAGTAATATGCATAGGGTTGTGAATCCGCCTGGGGAGCAGGAGAATGGGACGAGATATAGTCTTGTGTATTTTAATCGGCCGGGGGATGAGGTTGTGTTGAAGGTTCTGGAGGGAAGTGAGATGATTGATGCGAAGAGGAGGGAGAACCCGCAGGTTGAGAGCGGTGAGGAAATTAATGCGAAGGAATGGATATTGAGAAGGGCGATGGGTAGGAGGGCCGGTGGTGACTGGGAAAAGGGACAGGGTACGGACAAAGAGAGGATGGAGAAGCATGATAGTGGTATTGCAGCTTCCTAGTGTGCAAGCATACACCCCGAACTTCAAGAGGCATCTTCGTAGTAGATGCTCTACAGTTTGCAGACTGTCCAGAGAATAACGATCTGTCTTCATCAATGAAAGAAGACAGTGATGCCGGTGAAGCCCAGGTCACAATAATCTCAAGAGTAAATCGTCGAAGAGCCAGACCCCCGCAGCCAGAGTCAAGGATGATGCATGCTGTATCAATCACGTGTTGCGGCCAACTCCTGGGATTCCTGGCTGAAGCCGTGTGCTCGAGGCAAAAAACCAAGAGTCTCTTGTGCATATCCAGGGTTCCGTCACACACTTTACGCCCGCTGATCGCGGGGTTTCTAGCCATACGTAAAATCGCTTTTTCTTAGTAGGCCACATGTAAAACTCGATAAGTGGTATATTCCAGTCCTATACAGACATCTAGGTAGGTACAATATTAAACCGCGAGTCTAAATATAATATTAGCTAGTTTATCCGAGCGTATAGTAGTCGTAGGACCTCGCTATCGCTATTTCTTATATAATCCTTAGCAGGCGCGTCCACCTCATTCTAAAGCGTGTATTCCTCGTATTCCTCCTATTTCTTATATTCTACTATACGGATCGTATATAAAACTTAGTATAGGGCGTAAAAGGGGTAAAAAGGTAAAAAGGATACGAGCCGAGCGGTTAACCGAGACGGAGAGGGCAGAGAGGGTAGTAGAACGCGTCGTTTCGAAGTACTACGAATTAGAGGCTAAATCGGATAAGAAGAAGGTTAGCATTCGAGCGCTTTATAAGAGTAAGAAGGCAACTAGCCTATATTCTCGTATTTACTAGCGGTTAAGAGGCCGTAGATCGCTATTTAATCGTCTATTAACTAATACTAAACTAGACGAGTCTTAAGAGCTAGCGCTAGCGGATTATTATCGAAAGAGGGACGTAATAGATATATTCTTACTAGTAGCGTTAATCGTTATTATAGCGATAGAGATACTAGTTAGCCTATTACTAGAGGGGACGCCGAAGGATACAATACCGCTATTTAGTATAGACTAGGCCGACCGCTTTCTAAAGCGCTATAGACTTAGTAAAGTTAAGTCTAAGCCGATTAAGGTATAGCGGAAGGAGGCTTACGACCCTTCTACGATAAGGAGTTAGTTTAACCGCTTTAAGGCGATAATTTCGCGACTAGGTATAAAGCCGCGGAATATATAGAATTTCGATAAGACTAGCTTCCGAGTTAGAATAGGTAGTAACGAGTATATCGTTATAATAGATACGAAGCGGCGCGCCTAGACCGAATATAATAGCAACCGTACGTATATAACTATCGTCGAGACCGTTAATGCCTTCGGTAAGGTAGTAGATTATTAGTTGATTATAAAAGGTATAATAGTCTAAGAACGGTAGGTGCCGAAGGAAGGTAAGTCTATTACTACTACCTAAGGCAAGAACGACGTTACCTACTAACTAATACACCCTCGTTCTTAGGCAAGGACAACTTCTTAATTACTGTTAATAAGTCTAGATATATAACCGACGACACTATAATGTACTATATCCGCTAGTTTAAGCGGAAGACAAGGCCTAAAGATCTAGAAGAATAGAGGGTGCTTCTATGCGACAATTACGGCTCCTACTACTTTAAGGAGTTTGTAGCCTTTATAAAGCGGCATAAGATTTAACTATAGGGCCTACAACTATACACTTTACACTTTATGCAGCCGTTAGATATTATCCTGTTCTAGGTATATAAACTAAGGCATAGGCAAGCAGTATTAGAGGCTATACACCGTAGTATTAGTGAATTCGGAATACCTAAGTTCATCGAGGCGCTCTCGGCTATTCGTAGTAAGACGTTTACCTCTTATAATATAAGGTTAGCATTTCGGAAGATAGGTATATTCCTAATTAATAGGGAGGTCCCTTATAGGCATATTCGAGATTAGTATAGAGCTACTAACTATAACTAGAACTAGCAAACAATTAAGGGCGAATTAGTATAGGAAGAAGTCCGCTATAATAAATCGCTAGTAATAGCGGAGGTCGCTTAGTAGGAGTATATCGCGTCGGTTAAGCAACAACGTTCTATAGAGCCTACTATTATCGATCTAGAAGGCTAGGCTTACGCTAATAGTCGCTACTACCTCGGGGATCTCGAAAACTTAATTACTTAGGGTATGCTATCGTTACCCCCTACGCTACCTTAGCGAACACCGATACCCGAACTGCCGCAATAGCTCCTTAATACTATAACTAGCCCTCGTACGATTAAGGCGTCTCGTAGTGCTATACAAGCTCGCAAGGACTTCCGACGTTCTTATCTAAAACTAGCCCCGTAGGGTATCGATCCTATATTACTATTATTTAACCTATTTTCCTCGTTACCTATAAAGCAAGTAGAAGAAGCCTATACTATCTTAGTTAACGCGGCTATTTGTAAAGGCGAGGAATACAAGCGTAAATACTAGTCTACGAGCATTATTAAGCGAGCAAAGAAGCGATAGAAGGAGTAGCCTAATCGGCTTATAAGGGTAGGTACTATCGAGGCGAATGAATTGCGCTTATAAGTTACGCAACAAGACAAGAACCTAGTTAATAATAACCGCTAGAAGATGTTATAGGAGGTGCAGAATGCTATTAGTAAGGCACGCTTATATCGGCTTAAGTGTAGTAAGGCCTTCTGTGTCGTATTTAATAACAATAGTAAGACTAAATAGATAGACGTTAACCTTTAGTCTATCGATAAGCCGCTACGGCGTATCTTCGACCTACGGCTTCTCGATAGCAATAATACCTCGAAGAAGACTAGTAATCTATATGCGACTATTCTCGGCGATTATAGGCGCCGTACCGATACAACTAATAGCGGCATAGTTACCTATAGCTAGAGTAAGCTAAGGATACTGCTATTGCCGACTCGTACCTATAACTATAAAGGCGATATTATAGTATAGACTATTAAGCCGAGGCGGCGACTAAATAGCCTATTCGCGTAAGAGCCTAACACTCGATTAGACTAGCTCTAGCAAGACGAGGCGCTGCTTAATAAAGATACCGTATACACTGCAATTTAGCCTTATTTAGTACCTCCTCGTCGCTGCTACGAGTCTATATAAAGCAAGCGATATTTCTACGAGCCTCCGAAGAAATCTAGTCGTTATAAAGGCGCGGTTGCTAGCAGCAAGAACAACCCTATTAAGCTAGAAGAGGTAGATAGTAGATATAGTAGCGGTTAGCTATTTACTTAGCAAGAAGAGGTAGTAGTTATATAATAGATATATAGGCCGACCTATAAAGTAATTGACTATATAGTTAACGCGAGGTATGCGCGAAAGCCGATTGTTAGCCTATTCTAACTACCTACGGTCGTAATTTAGTCGCTAATATACCGGAAATCTACTGCTTCTTAACCCTTATCGCACTTATATTCAATTTCCTATTATATGTGCTCTACAACATTATTGTTATCGAATTTTACGTATAGCCTACTAAGAAAAAGCGATTTTACGTATAGCTTGAATCCCCGAGCTAGGGCGAGGGGTGAAGTAGGCTAACGCAACTAGAGATGTAAAAACCTTAGTAATTGTAATAGTAATAGCAAATAGTAAATAGTAAAGTCAAATTGGCAATAGTAATAGTAATAGTAATAGTAATCCTACAGAGAATTCTATAGTAATCGTAATAGTAATAGTAATAGTAAAATTACTATAGTAATATTACTATTACTATAGTAATTACTATTAGACTATTTAGTATAGTAAATTGTATTCTATACGAGTCCTAGTATTGATTTTTCTAGAATATATTAATATATTTACTATAGATATATCTAGTAAAACTATAGAGATATTAATTTTTAAAATTCTAATAGTAGGTTCTTATAGAAGTTAATATCTTTATAAGTTTAATAGATAAACTATTAAAAAAATTATATATAGTTAAAAAAAGCGAAGCTATAGATATATATTACGCTCTTTTTATTAGTTAAGAATTATATATAATATTATAACTATACAGATAGTAGTAAAAGTATAACATTATATATTAATAATAATAGACAGTATATATTCTAATATGCTCTCTACTATACGTCTCTAATTATACTCGGATAGAAGTGGGAAAATAGCAGCGAACAATTAGAAGCGAAGGGAAGACAGTTAAGAAGGAAGGGAGGACGAATAGAACGCACTATGTGCTAGGGCAGAGGAGGTGCTAAAGGCGGAAGATAGAAGAACCCCTAAGAGGGCATATAGGATAATAATCTTAGAACTCCTTAGAGGACTGAAAGCAATCTATAACTAGGCAAGCTACGTAATTACAAAGGTAGCTGATACAGTCGCAGCAAAGATTACGAAGAAACAATAGGAGACAAGCCTAAACTACCGTACCTAGGTAGCAGTAGCTAGTTAGGAGGCGCTAAAACCCCCGAGGACAGTAGTTAGAGTCTATATTACGGACCTATAAGAGCAAAAGGAAATCTAAGGACTTATAGGGAAAGAGATTGTAGAAAGAATTACAGTTAAAGAGGTAATTAGGGCTAGGAACGAAGGTAAAGGGGTAATCAAGCTGTTTATAGCATAAGAACAGGACAAAAAGAAGCTAGAAACACAAAAAGAATAGACAACTAAGATAGGGAAAACAGCAAAGGTCTCCTAACAGCAATTTATAATTATAGCCTATAGTATAATAAGAAGCTTTAAGGAAGAGTAGGATATTAAGAGCCTATAGAGACAAAACTAAGCTATATACCTAGGCCTAAAGATTACAAAAGTAGTATAGATTAAAAGGAAAATCGAAGAGACTAAGAAGCAGTCTTCCCTAATTATCTAGGTAGGGAGTATAGAGCAAGCCAATATAGTGTTAGACTAGGGGTTGTTCTAGGACTTTAAAAGGTTAGAAACAGAGATACATAGAAGCAACTATAGGATAATGCAGTGCTTCAAATGTTAACACTATAGATACTTAGTAGCTAAGTATATAAAGACAACTAACACCTACTCCTATTATATAGGGGATTACTAG